GTTGCTCAGCCTGGCTTTGACTGTGTAGTCTTCCTGCCTCAGCCTCTTAAGTGCTAGGATTTGGGGGAGATCTTAACTGTACTACTGAAGAGATGTGCCTTGTGGTCAGAGGTATGTGTATCAGTTTGGAGGAGGATATGATTAACAAATGAAAATTGGGTTATGAATGTCTCTCAAAATTTCATTGAAACTGAAATACAAATGGTAACTCCTAGGTTAATAAATTACTGAAGGCAGATGTGTTTATAGCTGTCACTCAGGTAAGGAAATGAAACCTTGCCAGTACCAGAAGCTGAGGCTTCCTCCAACTCCAGTCTTTCTGATCTCTGGTAGTAAATGCTTGTTCTGATCCAGTATATGTCTTTGCTAGCTTTGCAAGTTTTTTTCTTTTTTCAAGTGATATGTCTTTTAAGTGTCTTTAATCTTATAGAGTCTTTGTCTTATTTTTCTCTTGCACAATATTAGTTGAAGAAGTTGGATCATTTGTCCTGTGGCATTATCCAAAGTTGAGATTTTAATGGTTGCCTTCTGTGTGGCATAATTTAACATGTTTCCCTGATGTCTTTATTTCCCAAGAAGGCTGGATACTTAATTAGATTCGTATTTGTGTAGGTAAGGCTGCTTCATGGGTATGGGAGTCATATAACTCATTTTGTGGTGTTAGCAGCCTTGTTGGTGAATTCTTAGATCCTGTGATTTATTTGGGTTGTAGGGTGGTAATGTTTTAGTTCCTTGTTTGTTAGAATATTAATTTTTCGGGCTGGGGATTTAGCTCAGCAGTGTAAGTGCCTAAAGTGGTCATGAGTTTGATCCCCAGTATCCGATTTAAAAAAAAGAATATTTATTTTTCCCATGTCTTGTTGATTTTTTTTTTTTTTTTTTTGAGACAGTCTCACTTTATATTGCAAGCTGGCCTTGAATTCACTGTTTAGCACAGGCTAGCCTTAAACTGGCAGTAATTCTTCTGCCTCAGCCCTCCCGAGTGCTGGGATTACAGAGTTAGAATATTTCTACAGAGGGGAACTTTACCTTTTATATTACTTTTCATCTAAAAAAAAATCAAAACAAACTAACACTCACAGCACTCGTATAAATAATATCAGTACAATGCCACTAGTAGGATTACTTAAAACAGAATTGAAAAAGACTACTTTTTCTGTTTTGGAGACAGGCTGTCACTGTAGTTCAGGCTGGCCTCAAATTTGTGGCCATCTCCTGCCTCAGCCTCTTGAGTCCTAGGAGTACAGGGCCGCGCCACCATACTCAGCTGAAAAGACCTGTATTATACACTCTTTGCATTCTTCCCCCACATGTACTTGTGGTGCATCTGCGTGGTAAGAACATGGAGTCATTATGTGCCACAGTCTATGCTTTGGTCTTGTATATAGGGCTCATCACTTCAGTAATTTTGGTTATCTCGATCCTTTGTTAGTAGATCCTTAGGGCGTGTGAGAATAATATAAGTTGAGGTTCTGTATGCTGGCGACAGTTTGTGGTCTTCTGCTTTAATTTGTTAGGTAAAATTCTTGGGTCACATTGTCTCTGAGTAACTAAAGAATATGCTCTGGTCTAAAACATTGCTGTGAAACATGGATGATTATTGTAATATGATTTTCTGTTCCTCATGAATGTTTTGTTTTTTTGCCTGTCTAACCCATGGGATTTTTTATCCAGTATTTTCCCTGTTATTAGTTCGTTTTGGTTTCGATATGTTCTTTCATTAATTACTGTCAAATATTTCCAGTGTCAGTTTCCAGAAATTTAAAAAAGTTTTATTTTGTTCCCTTTTTTAGATTTTCTTCTTTGGGGGACTAATCTTGTATTTTCTGTAATTGTCAGTTTTGCATGAGTTTTTATTTTGTGCTGACATTTAAATATTTCCTCCCTTTTATCTTTCACATAGGTGTTACCATGTTTGTTCAGAGAATATTTCTAGTTGATTCTTTAACTATTTAATTTTTCCTGAGTTTAAATAAAAATTTGAGTTTTTCTAATTTCAGTTATTCAGTCATAGTTTCATGTTATTTTCTTGAAGTATTACTTGTTTTGCGGTAGTGAGCCACATTTCTCACTGCTTTGCTGGGTAGATCTCTGGTGTGCTGTTGTCTACAGGGATTGTATTTGTCTTTTGTGTGTGTGTGTGTGTTTGAGTAAATTGTTGTGGGAACTGAGACTGTAGCAGTGCCGGAGAACCTATGGCATGTGTGCTGTAGCTGGTTGTTGGCTGTCATCACTGCTCTACAGTGTCTCCTGTCTCTCATATGAATTACTTTTCTTGTTTTTTTTTTTTTTTTTTTTTTAAACACTTTTTTTTCTTTTTCTTTTTATCGGTACCAGGGATCGAACTCAGGACCGCCTACTTGTAAGGCAGGTGCTTATGCCGCTGAGCTAAATCCCCAGCCCCCTTTCTTGTTCTTTTTAAGAGAGCTGGATTGGCCAGCCTTATTTTCTAGTCCTTGTCTGATTTGGTGAAGTGTTTAGAAATATGGCAGCTAATTTTCTGAGATGTGCTCTCTTCACCTTTTATCTGAACCTTCTTACTCTTCACTTACTTATTTTTTGAGACAGGGTTTCACTGTGTAGTTCAGACTGACCTCAGACTCACTTAAGAAGCCGGGTGTGGCCTTGAACTTGTGCTGACTCTCCTGCCTCAGCCTTCTGAGTGCTAGGATTATAGGCATGCGCCACTATGTGGGCCCAGCTCTTGAACCAATTTTCCTGTTCTATGTTGAGCTTTTGTGCTCAATTGCTCTATTGTGCTCAGTCAGGATTGTATTATTGGTGGTTTTTGCTCAGTGTGGATTTTGCAGGTTCATAGCCTCCCTTAGCCCTTTCTTCCTGCATCATAGTTGACGCTGCCCATGGTGAGAAGGTGGAGCTCTGCTCAGATTCCTGCTCTGCTGTCCACTGGGTTTCTGACTTTCCTATTGTATTGATTTTGGTGGGCTCTCCCAGCCCTCGGGTGACCTGCTGCTTTCTCCTTCAGATTGTAACAAATTAGTCTTGGTGATGCAGGTGGTGGTTTGTCCCCACTGATTTTTGCCAAGTTTTATGTGGCTGTTTACTGTGATTTTCTTTCAGCTGTGTGTCTGAGCACACTTGAGCACTTTTTCACACTGTTCCACTCCCTCCAGGCCTTTTTCTTGCTTTTCTTTGCCCCTTTTTTTCAGAAAGGCAGAGCTTTTATAAAGAATCCAGTGTAGTAGGATTATGGGAATTCTGAGCTTGGTGTCAGGCTTTAGCTTGGTCAGGGGTGGATCCTTTACACACTGTTTGAGCATCATTCAGTTCACCCCTGAGGCCTAGAGGGACCCCCACTTACAGCACCTGTTCTTAGTCTTGCCTGGGATATGGGGCTCTTTGGTGGGAAGCAGGCGGCGGCTGTGCGGGGTGGTGGTGCCTGGCAGCTCATCTGTTAGGAGTGGCTGAGGCCTTGCGTTGCAGGGTGCTGTCTGGTGGAGGCTTCCTCAGACCAGACTTCTTGCCTGCTCCTTTGACCCACTTAGACAGATTGACCGCTAGGTACCAGGGAAAATCCAGGTGCTCTCCTCTTCTACCTCACCTTCCCCAGCATGCTGAGGCGTGAAGGTGACTCCAGATCAGGCGCATCCTGCATCCACTTCTGAAGGAACTGGGTTTGGCCGTCTTCTTCAGAACTCTGCTTCATGCCTGCGATGCTCTTGTCTCATTCAGGCAGATTTGTATTGCTTTTAATTGCTCTCCTTCAGTTTGGTCTTACGTCTTATACATAATATAGTTTCCCGAATTCATGGAATGGGTTAGTGGCTGTTTCCATATTTTAGATCTAGTTTCCTACTTTGTTCATTTCAGGGGCTTTCAGGGGGGAGTACTTTAAACAGCTCTCCTGGGAAAATGCTTTAGCCAAGTATAGGCAGACTGGAGGCACTCATCAGCCTTTGGGATTTATATGGAAAAATTAAGCAGCAGCTTGTATGCTGGAAATTCTGGGATATGATGTGAGCCCAAATTACGAGGAGCAGCAGTCCCAGGTTTCTAGCTGACAGTCGCTTGAGGGTGGAGAAGGGTGCTAGGTGGGTGGCCGAGACAGAGCCACAAGTCACTGTGGAAGCCTACAGTGGAGGGTGCAGGGTGAGGAGCCAGGAATCCCATTGCTCTGACTGAGCTCGTGTCGGGTGCCGCTTTTTTTGGGTTTCTGTGAGGCACCCTTTTCCTTCTCCTCACGCTACCTGTAAGTTGCTATCTGCATCTTAAAACCAAAGAACCTGGGGCTGGGGATTTAGCTCAGCGGCATAAGCACCTGCCTTGCAAGTGTGCAGTTGTGAGTTCGATCCCCGGTAGCGATAAAAATGAACAAGACAAAAACAAAAAAAACCCTAAAAACTAAGTAAACTGGGTGCTTGATTTCATTCTGTGAAGTAGGACCTCAGACTGCCTGGGTGTGAGGAGGAAGGTATAAGTACTTACGGTTTCTGAGAAAAGCAGAACATAATCATTGTGAAAAACGAGAGGAAAGACCTGACAACTGCTCAGAACCATGCGAAGTCCAGTAGACGTTGGAAAGAACTTAGGGCTGTATCTTCCTGTGTGGCGTTTTTCTGTAGGATAGGGGAATAGGAACCAAGGTGGTGGCTAGTGGGAAGAATCCAGGCTTCAGTGGAAAGACTGGTCAGTGGAGCAAGAGCCCTAAGCATGTGGGCTGCACAGACTGCCGTGTCCCACCACAAAGCTAATCCAGAGAAGGGTGGAAAGTGGATAGTTTTCAGGAGATTAGAGGGCTTGCTGAAGACTGTGTCATGCGAGGAAGTGACCAGAGGCCAGGAAGCTGTAGTGAGAGTTGGATGTGTAAGATCGTAGAGGTAGATTGATTGTGGATTATGTCAAGATTGAATGTGGCCAATGGAAAGGTGACTGGTTTGAGTTTTCTTGCCTTTGTATCACTCATCTATTTACATAGTAACTAGGTAGCATCTGACATTATTTCATCTTGATATTACTCTATAAATGAGTAACAATGAAAACCAAGTAGTAGGCAGTTTATTTTTTTAAATTACTTAAAAAAGTTGTTTACACATGTGGATTTACATAACTTGGCAACAACATTTTAAAATGTACAGGCTATTTCATATTATTGCACTTAACTCTTTAATATATAAGGCATTTCATTTTACATAAATAAAGGATAATTATACTATCATACAACAGGTGTGGTGCCAATTAAGTCAACCGTACAATTCAGCGAGATGCTTGTGGGAGGATGGAAATGAAACCCAGGCTCCTCAGCCTTCACGGTATATTCTTGCAACTACAATTTACAATGTTAAACACATATTTACCCTCATAGCTTACTGTGAATGACTGACCAGTTTAAAAAAAGAAAAAAAAAAAAAAACAATGGAAGTTTGAATAGGACAATACCATTAGTGTTCACTTCAGGAAGTGTGGGAGTTTATTAGACTAATTAGAAATACTAGTCATGCCTTGAACACTGAAGACAAATAAATAGCTCTCTATCTCAGGGTCAGAGACAGTTTAGTTTTTGCTTCTTCCCTTATTCCTCCTGTTGGCCGGGGGCAAGGCATGATCTTGCAGAAATGGTTGATTTTTAACAGCACAGTAGGCCAGAGATCCACCCTGTACTCTTCAGATACGAGGATTAGGGACATAGACGACCTGCCATTGCTCCATTTTGCTCTAGAAATTCCTGTATGATCACATGACTATGAATTTCTTACAGACATAGCTGTAAGAGTGGAGGAAAAATCGGTGTTCAGGGTTGACTTCAAAATGTCGGATACTCTTGTCGTTTAGGCAAAAAAGCAGAAACCACGAAACTGACCCCAGAGACTTGAAAAAAATCCAGCATGCACCTTGCACTGACTTCCTATAGTATCCTACCTGTAACTGCAATGAAAAGTAGAAGCTAAATCAGGTTTTTCTAGCTACTCCTGAACTACATATTCCTCTGTATAACCTGTTGAAAAATGAGAAATCTGGCTCAGATAAGCCAGATATTTCACCCCCATCTGAGGGACCTCTCTGGGCTAGCTCCATAGATATTTAGCAGGATTGGTCACTCAGAAAAATGATGTACAAAGGTGACAGCTCATGTATTACCATGGTCCAAGGCATGTAGCCATAGACATCGCTGTGAGTTATGTAAAGAAATTGCCAACATAAAATCTTAGCATCGTGTGTTCAGGTATGACAAATGCAATCCCCCTCCTATTTCTAGGACTCAACAGACTGGCCTGCGCCACCCAGATTGTACATACTGCATGGTCCTTTAACTTTGACTCACCCTGTTTTTCTTCCTTGTTCTTACGACATTTTGGTAAACCAAGCTTGTGGGGCTTTGGAATTTAGGTAGAGTGGGAGGGGAGAAAAGTCAGCTTTGTGACAGGGGCTGGCCACTTTGAAGAAGCTAATGGTGATCGGGAGTTTCACAAGCAGCCTGAGTCACGGCAATCTGCAGGAGAACAGAAACTTTCAGTCACTGCAGAGCTCTGTCATTGTACCAGGTCAGGAAAGAGAGATCTGTTACTTAGCAAGTTACATTACTTAAGTGTGTTAAGGAAGAGGAGGAAAGCCATCCAAACAAGTCTCCCCAGAGGACTATTTTACACTTTGCAGTTTGGATTTTAAAAGATACTTGATTTTTGAAATTTGAATTAGTAAGTGGAGTGCGTAAGATGTAGAAATGGAGACCCAGTGACTGAAAATTTTGGCCTGCTTTTGTGACTAATCTTGAATTGAAGCATTTACTCAAGACCAGTTAGAAAACTAAATGCAAGGTGCTTTTAGATTTGGAACTTCCTGCTCCTTCCAGCAGCAAAGCTCACAGCTGTCGGGACTGTTATTCTGTAAAAGAGCCATATGACTTAAATTTGCAGAAACAGAAAATGATCATAGTCAACTCATTGAGTTGAACGCTGCATCCATACATTGTACATTACACTCATTAGAAAATACTGCTTTCTGTATTTTGCTTTTTTCAGTTCTGGGATAATTCCTGAGCTCAGCCTACTGATTAGGTCATTATTCATTTTCTTTTTCTTTTCAGGGAAATACCTACTTACCTACCTACAGCTCCTCTTCCCACTGAATGTGCCCAAGAGCAGTGTCTCATTTACTTACAAAATTACAGGAAACTGTAGTCTCATTAGCTATGACGTTTGTGTCACCCCTCAGGTTCCTACTCACCAGGATTATACACTGGGAGATGGGGCAGGAGGTGTAGCTAGGTGTTTCAGAAGAAGGCCATGTCACCTCTTGTATCCCCTTGCAGACATAAAAGGAGGGGACAGGCACTGGAACAAAATGAACCCCCAGCCCAGGTGATCCACGACTTCTGGAGTTTGCTTTCATTGTTGCTGCAACACAATAGGGCAGATTTTGTATATAAATACAAACTTGGGGATTTTTGTAGTCCTCGTTTATACACATTGTTTGTTGCCTCAACCGTCATTTTGATTTGTGTAAAATAAGAGAACTGAGAAAAGGTGATTCTTGTTAAAATTCAGGAAGAGTTTCTATGCTTCCTAATTACTAACTGCACAGGTCCTTCTGGAACAGACTTCAAAATACTCCAGGCATCGAAGTGCATGAGCCCAACCAGGGGTTTCCCATTAATAGCAAGAATTTCATCTCCAGCTTCTATTGTTCCGGTTTGCTCTGCTGCACCACCTGTTGGAACAAATACAGAATAAGGGGTTGGCATTTTTCATAGAGTACAAAAAAAATGTCCAACTAAAAATTCAAATGATAACAATCCCTAAATGACATGCTTTTTTTTTTGTTTGTTTTTATTTTTTGTGCTGGGGATTGAACTGATAACCTCGTACTTGCCAGGCAGGTGCTTATGCCACTAAGCTAAATCCCCAGCCCAAATTTTTTATTATTTTTTTTTAAGCCAGTCATATTTAGTAGTGGGGGGGTGGTATACCAACTTTAGTGACACTAATGTTAATAAGTTCTGATAACCCACTGCCATTGGAACAGCCTTCAGCCCAAATTCTTAAGATAGGCAACTGTTACAGCTTATGTCTAGATGTCCCCCCAAAATTTCTAGTATTGTACTGTGAATCAGATTACATGGATTAAGGGAGGATAATTACTAAATCAGTCTACTGACTGGTTTTGCACCACCCTAATTCCAATAGCTAGACAGAATATAAAAGGGGCAAAAAAAAGAACCAAACAAAAAACCTGCTAAAATCCTTTGCTTGCTTTACTGCTGTCTGTCCTGTGTGAACTGTTTTACCTCTGAGATGCCCCTCGGCCATGCAACCCTGCCTTGGAGCCAGCTGATTATGGACCGACTCCTCTACAAACTGTGAGCCAGATAAACCTTTCTTCCTTTAACTTTGGGTATTAGTTTTCTCATTGCTGAGTCAAAATACTCAAGACAGCAACTATTTTATCTTTTGGAGACAGAATTTCACTCATTTGTCTAGGCTGGCCTCAAACTTGAGATCCTCCTGCCTCAGTCCTGGGAGCAGCTGGGATTATAGGCATGTGCTGTTGTGCATAGCTTCAGACAGGGAAGTGTTTCTTAAGATACAAAATGCATATATCCATAACAATAAGCTGGACTATATAAAAAAAAAAAAAAACCTCAGATTTGTTTTCCTGCCAAAGTACAAGCAAGACAAAGGAACTGACCATAGGAAGATAATTTCAATCTATATAGTTAACAGAGACTTAAGTGACTATAAATCAGTTAGAACAATAAGCAGAAAGGTGGGCAGAGAAAATCAGTAAAGTCCATATAGCCAGTTAACCTAGGAAAACAGGCTCAGTTTTTCAATTAACAGCTGTTGCTGAAGTTTGAGTTCTGAGACGCAGTGATTCCTTGTTGATCAGTGACAGTGGAGGGTACTTCATTGTTACTAACACAAAGCTTCAGATATTTACATTACAGCTTTGTGTGGGTTATGGCAAATTATTAGCGCTGAAAGCCTTTGTTCACTTTCTTACACATACACATGAAAACGACCACAGTGAAGAATAAAGGCATATTGGCTAAGGAGGCATCTTCCGGAAAATACAGCACTGAAAGAAAAATTCCAAAGAATGAAAGTAGAAATCTGAGATCTCAAAAAAGACTGGGCAGAAACATGTATTTCATCTTAAATTTCTTAAAGTTATTAAATATTTGGCATTTGCATATATGTAATTATAGCTGATTATAAATGTGATGAAATAGAAACACATAACCTGGAAGAAAGTGCTAGGTTCACATCCAACCCAGCTGATAAGAGCCAGCTTCATGATACAGAAGGGTACTATTGTTAGGAAGAAGGCCTCACCCTCTCGGCTCTGCATAAAAGCAGTGAAGATTTCATCACAGTCATTGTTTTCTCAAGATAGAGTCTTAAAAGACCTGAAACACTGTTACATTTGTGACAGCACACACCTGACATCCTGGTCTAGAATGTTAACCGAAGGCTCATGGCAGCTCAGATGAAGCAGAGAGGCTCACAGGGAGTGTCCCCTGGGTCTCAGGACAGGTGTCTCCACCCAGCCCACGTGGATGTGCTGGTAAGAAGCACCCCAGAGAGCAATCAGGGTTTTGGTCGAGTCTGTAACCCCGGCAAGTTACATATTCTCTGTACCTCATCCTTCCTCGCCTGCCTTGGTGACAACAGCATCTAGCTTATTTCACTGGGACGTCAGAAGGATCAAGGTGAGATGAAGCAGATGGAAATTTGTTAGGAAATAGTCTATGCTGTGCAGACCACAGGTGGTGCCAGCCTTTGGGCTTTACGTGAGAGAGAAATTAAACACGACTATTTTAGGTTTTCTCTTACAGGAGGCCAACTAACCCTAACTGATTGACACAGAATGCCTGTCTCCATTTACTGTAATTTTTTTTCCCTTTTTTTTGGTACTGGAGATTGAACTTGCAACCTTGTGCTTGCCAGGCAGGTGCTTATGCTGCTGAGCTATATCCCTGGTTTCATTTACTGTATTAAACAAACAAAAACAAAAAACTTTAGACAGCTTTTATGGTTTTGCCCAAAAATGTCTTGTGTAGATTTTATTTGGCACAGACTCTTATAGTTAATAATTAGTATCACAATGTAGAAGTCTACATTCGGCTTATTATTCTACGCTGTGGTTTTTGTTGTTTTAGTTTTTGAGACAAGATCTTGTGTACTCCAGGCTGGTCTTGAACTAGCTCCATAGCTCAGGGTAGCCTCAAACTTAAAGCAATCCTCCTGTCCCAGCCTTCCGAGTGCTGGGATTACAAGCATGCACCAACCATACCTGTACTGGTCTTGTTTGATATGTAAAGGTCTAATTTATTCTTTAATTGCCATACACTGTTCCTTTTTATGAAACTTTTCTCTAGCATTCTATGACAGACAGAAATGTGTGCTCTTCCATTGCTCCCATGTTAGTGAGGACCACCATACAGATGAACATATACGTACTCCTCTAGAAAGAGCAAGTAGCTTATTAACGACATCTCCTGGTTTTGGCTAAGCTAACAAGACTTAAATAATTCATAATACTGTAATTGTCATAATTTTCACCCTGCAAACTAACAAACGAGCATCTTCAATGTTTCTTGGCCAGATTGAAATGTCAATTGTCTATTGGCTTCCTTTACCCAAATTTTCTCCTTATTTTGCATATTTGTCATTAATTATAGTTCTTTATTCTGATCACTGTTAAGACACTGCAGATTAGCTTCCAGTCAGCACTTGTATTTTTATATTTGCTTACAAGTTTTTTTTGCTCTATATTAATCCTTTTACAGTTGCATAGCATTTCAATCAGTTCTGTAGCTCCCTGAGTTTGCATAAGTACAGTGTTCCTACAATGATAAAATTGGCTAACAATCCATCTCAGAATACAGGATATATTTTTTTTAAAGCATGTGGTTGGTTATGTAGGAAATTTCATTGAACCCTATATGTTAATTACAAACTCAAAAGCTTTGGTAAACTTTTCAAATTGGCATGGTGTTAGGGTATTATATTTATTTTTTTCTTTTCATACCAGGGATCAAACACGGCTGCGTGCTTACAATGCAGGCACTTATGCTGCCAAGCTAAATCCCCAGCCCCCCCTTTTTTTGAGATAGGGTCTCACTATGCAGTTTAGGCTGGCTTTGAACTCACTACATAGCCTGTGACAATCCTGCCTCTCAAGTGCTAGGATTATAGCTGTGTGCCACCACCCCCAGGAAGTAATCAGGAAGAAGATGCAATTCTCTAACAATGGCAAACTGTAACCCTGTATTTCTACTTTTTATACCCTTTATTTTCTTCTTATTGTCTGCTGACTTACTTGGTCAAAAGGGGAAAGGAGAAACATTTCAAAAAACAGTCCAAATATATAACTGCACTAAGTTCTCATTGTTAACTAGATGGTTGGTATTTCATCAGGTGTTAAAAACAACTACTGACTAATTTTTTCATTATACATTTGCTTGCCTTTAAGAAAGCACAAGGGAAATAGGACAATTAGTTCATTACTCAAAAAATTATTGTTAGACCTATTGCAAAAAATTAGTGCAGGGTATCCTTTATCCAGAGTGTTCAAATTTGGGAGTATTTGCATAGGTTTCACTAACTAATTATCCTTAGTCTAAAATTACCTGAAATGCTCTGAACTGTGAAATTTTCTGAGCCATATGATCAAAAAGTTTTGGATTTCAGATTAGGAAAGCTCAACTCTATTGATGTATTTTTTTTGCTGCTTTAACTAAAAGCTACAAGAAAACTAAGTGAACAGAAAAAAGGTAAGTATGAGATGCAAGGTAAATGTCACATGCCTATAATCCCAGCTACAAGAAAACTAAGTGAACAGAAAAAAGGTAAGTATGAGATGCAAGGTAAATGTCACATGCCTATAATCCCAACATTTGGGGGCTGAGGCTGGAGGATTGCCATGAGTTCCTTGGAGGCCAGTTTGGGCTCAAACAAAACAAAGAGATAAAATCTTTAGATAAACTCTTAGGTCTTAGAGACTTATTCCCTAGTCTCTAAAAAAGAGTGAAGAAGGGACCTTTCATGTAATACTCAGAAGGACTTACATTCAAGAGTATGAATTTTTATTCTTTTAGTTCTTTAGTAGGATTCTATACTTTTCTTCATATGTGTTTTTTGTTGTTTTTAAAGACAGGGTCTTGCAGTGTTGCCCAGGTTGGCCTTGAACTTACAAGCAATCCTCCAGCCTCCCAAGTGCTGGGATTTTAGGCATGCGCCACCACGCCTGGCCTTGACTGTCTTTTCATAGAATGAAACAGCAGGATTAGGACTGAAGTGTAGTGATAGTATGTGATGCTCTGGTTTTAATTCTCAGCATAAAAAACTGCAAAAGACAAAAGTTGTCAAGGTTGTCAGTGAGAACATCTAGAACACTGTCTTTGGAACAGATGCTTCTTTTTCCTAATCCACATAAAAATTTCCAGATTTCTGGCCATGTTCTTGTTGGAGATGAAGTCACTTAGTACCGATCATGTGCGTAGAAAGCAGAAGACAGGACAGGACGGGGTCTGGACTCAGCCACTACCAGGGTAGAGAGAAAACCTTGCTCAGAAACTTAACTCATTGCGTTAACAGCAGTGAACACAGTGAGCCACTCGAGGGTGAGCGTCAGCAGGAGAAATGTGCCTGTCAGAAGGTAAGTCTAGGGTTATGGAAAGAAGTCCCCTACCCCAAAGCCCCTTTCACTGTATTTCGCTTTGTGGGAGGCAGAGCTGGAAGACATTCACCCCTTGAGGGGTTCCTTCTCTGATCAGTGCTGCAACTACTGCCGGTTGCCCAGCTAGTGCCACCACCGCCACCACTGTAGCCGGCAGAAGCCCTGGGTTTCACAGCCTTTTGACACCTTTTTGGGTTGTGTCTGGGACTGAGCACGACTCCAGCTTTCTTCCCGAGTACATCTTAAAGTATTTCCACTTAGCTGGCAAGTTTAAATGATAGTTTAGCTGGGTATAATGTTTTAAGCTGACAGGAATTTTCCATCAGTCATACAGGGATGTTACTGTTAGTTTTTGGCATGTACACCGTCAGTCTGATGGTATTACCCTTGTGAGCAACAGGAATTTTCAGTTAGCTATTTAAATGTTCTTATTAGACATACTGGTAATCCCAGCACTTGGGAGGCTGAGGCAGGAGGAGCACTGCCAATTTAAGGCCAGCCTGAACTATAGCAAAACCCTGCCCAAAATATTTTGTATTATTCTTTATATTCTGAAACTTCATGGTGACATAGCAAGGTGTGAGTTTTTATAAAATTCAGTTTGTTTTGCCTTTCATGTAATTTTTCAGTCTGTGGATCCTGTTGTTTTTAGTTCTGTCAAATTCTGTCAAATTCTGAGGGAAAAAGAATTTTCCCTCATGGTTTCACAAACATATCCTCTTTCTTGTTTTTCCCTTTTAGAACTCTGTCTTCTTTATCCTTTGGTAGTTACCTCTGTTTCTCTGTGGGGCATTTTAAATTATTTCTTCTCTTCCATCACTATTTTTACATATTCCATCTTCATAGGGATTTAGTCTACTTTTAAATTTTTTTCATTAATTTCCCAAATATATTTGACTTCCTTTGCACTAAGAGAACGTGTCTTTGTGCATTTCAGAGAACAGTCTACGTGCTCCCTTTGAAGGGCCTCTTGGGCTTGTTTCTGGATGACATTCCTTAGTTTGTAAAGGGCTTTCCTGATCCCCGGGTCTGCTGCAGGGGCCCCCTCAGGCACTCTGGTCCAGGCGCTGACCCTGGCGAGGGCAAGTCCGTGACAGTCATCCTGCTCAAGCTTGTCCTGGTGGCTCAGTGTTCACAGCTGTTAACTTTTTTACCCTGGAGCCTTTTCTGCCCTGGTACTGTTGAGTCCAGACCCAGGAGGGGCCTGGTGCCTGCTTACGCCTGTCTTCTGCTCCGGTGTGGCCACGGGCAGCCAGCCTGTCCCACTGCCACCTCTAAGCTGTAGAGCACAGCCCGTCCAACCCTAGTCTAGCCCTTCGCACCACAAGACGCCTGGGTCCAGTCACCCTCAAATTCCGGTATTCAGTCCTGGTCCTAGATTGAAGACCCAGCCGTTAATCCACAGTTCTCCGCTCCTGCTTATGGACGGGGGCCACACTTCTACTTTCAATCCATAGAGATTTATTGATCTTTCAACTCAGCTACAATAATGGGAAGGATGATTTATTCTTGATATGCTCTACTTGGCTACAAGTAAGGACAGAACTAGTCCAGATATCACAGTCCAGGGTGGAGGACCAGCAGGGTAGGTTTTGGGGGAGCAAGGTAGGGTGTCTCAGAGGCGGTGCTGGTGACTGGATGGTGACAGTGGCTCTGGATGCACTAAGAGAGGCTCCAGACTCACCACGCGGTCTAACAACTCGGACAGCATGCCTCGGTCTGGTGGGCTGCTTATCTTTGCTCCAGCGAACATGCTGGCATTTTACTTGGGTTTCTGCATACAGATTTCCCCACTTCCTCTACTTGGCTCCCAGTTCAGGAAGAGATTTCATATTAATCATTTTAGTAACACCTGTTTACCTCTCATCTTGTTTTTTTGAGACAGGGTCTTGCTGTGTAGCTCAGCCTAGCCTTGAACTCCTGGAGATTCTCTTGCCATCTCCCTGTCCTGCAGTCCAGTATTTTAAGTTCGGGAGATCTGGGACTAAGTGTTCCTCATTGCTGCATCTGATGGCACTGTTACCTGACAGGGTTGTCACATGGACATGACTTTTAGTATGTGTAAAACACAACAGGCAGATATGGATTAAACCCTGCATATCACAAAGCATTAAAAATTAATTACATTCCTTCTGGGTGTAGTGGCACATGCCTATAATCCCAGCACTTGAGGCAGGAGGATCACAGTTGAGTTGGAGGCCAGCTTCAACTACATAGTGAATTCAAGGGCAGCTTGAACTACACAGTGAGACGCTGTCTCAAAAACAACAACAAAATACATTTTTAAAACACAGGGTCGATTCCCAAATGCAAGGCACTCATTTTCATTGAGACACATAAGGAAAATGAGCAGGCAGCAGCCGATGGCTTTCTAGGATGTTACCTTTGTAGACCCTTTTAATGACCAGGGGTCCATCTCCAGACATAGACGATTTGCCTCCATCCAGACTCAGTCCCAGGCCAGCCGAAGTCTTCAGCACTTCAACACACAGAGCATCGTGAGCCGTTCCGCTTCGCCCTGCAGCGACAGTGTGGGTCAAGACAAAAATGAAAGGGTTGTTCATGTGCTGCCTGTCCAGGCCCCCCACACACCACCCCCGCACCAGGGTCTCCTGGCACTCCAGTCCCCTCGCTTCCACCTTGGAGGCCAGCATCAGAGCTGGTCTCAGTACAGAGCCGCCTGTGTTCCTCTGCATTCCTGTGCATTTTCTGTAGCCAAGGAAAATCTTTTGTGCCCAGAAATCCTCAGAAGACAAATGACCCTTGTCAAATGCCACATTCTGGTGGCCCACATCTCAGAGAGGACGGAAGTCATACCGGGAGAACAAATGCAACTTCCTGCCAAGCCTGGCGACTGCAGCAGTGGGGTATCACAATCTGGTACCAAAGTGAGCAGCACCGAAGTGGCTAGTGTTGTGTGAGAGTCCCAATTGCCTGGGAAGCACCCTGGGACCAGGCAGAGCTCCCTCCTGTGCCCCGCAGCCTGCCACTCTCAGACCTTTCTCTCTGGACACACTGGCTCCCTTTATTGGCATCTGGCTCCACTGTGGGGAAGGGGGATGTTTCCATGGTGATGCTGGCTCTACAGTAACCAACTTGCATCCACTGCATAGGAGTTGGGAGAGGCCAGGCTGGAGGCTAAAGAGAGACTAAGTTTGCCTTTTAATTTCCCTGACTTACGTGTTGTACCAGCCAGGAATGTTAAGAGTTGTGTGGAAAGGCACACTTCAGTTGCCTGGGACTTAGGAGAAGGTCCACAAAAGCAACAAGTTGCTTACTTAACATGTTTGTTAGAGATGAGGATGGAGTGACCATCATTATCTCTGAACATAAACGATCAGTCTGTTAATGTGGTTTAAGAAAAGGGAATCCACACAATCAGAAAAATACTAACACTGGGAATGGCATACTTTTTAATAGGCGATTTGCTATTGAACAGAAAAAGGCCTATTAGGTAGTGGCTCTGAACTGTGGCTGCCTCCTGGAATCCTCTGCGAGTGTCACAAAGTTATTAATGTTGGTCCTCACTCCTCAATGTCCCTCATTTAGCAGGGAAATGTCCTGCACATGAGGGTTTTGAGGAAATTTCCTACTGTAATCCCAGCTCTTCAGAGGCTGAGGCAGGAGGATTGCTGTGAATTTGAAGCCAGCCAGGGCTACATAGTGAGTTCAAGTCAAGCGAGACTCCTTGCCCCCAAAGCTTTCCAGGTACCTCTAACATGTCTGTAAGGTAAGGAACACAAATGCAAAAGATGAACCTGCAGCACACAGAATAGGATTATGGACCAGGAGCAAACTTAAGCCTTCAAGGACTTTCACCTCAGTAACTGCAGGGTCTGGTCCTAGGCCAGAGTCTGATGGTATCACAGGAAGAGCTCTTCCTGGGTCTCAAATGCCAGGGAGGTAGTTAGGATAGGGCATCACACATTTCCTTGGATACACTGAGTTCCCAGGATGCTGGTGAAAATGCACCAACAGTTGAGCTAGGGCTGGGGACCAAGGAGCCCCCTCTATCAGGAAGCCTCTGCTTTCTGGAGGGCAGGAAGTGACCCAACAGCAGAAGCATCCCTGTGCCACTGCAGAGGCATTTGGACAAGAATTTCTCATTTGTTCAGCAGTTTTTCAGCAAAGCCTTCACAAATAGCTCAAGCCACAGTGAAGCCCTGTTGAGTACAGAGGCATTCAGCTACCCTGACGTCAGGAGGTGAAGTGCTGAGCCGGAACAAAACACCCAGCCTGGAAGGCTGTATCCAACCCAAACCTCCAGACTCTGCCTGCCAGGCTGGAGAGAGCCACATTCCGAATGCTTTTGAATGTGGGGGTAGAGGCCCTGGAAGGCCGCTGTCAGCCTGTGTGGCAGAGCTGAGCCCTCCGGTGTTCAGGCTCCAGGCAGTCTGTCTTGGAGGCCACAGAGAAAACCTGTCTCTGAGCCCCTGTCTAGCAAGTTCTCTGCTGGGAAGGCTTCAGTTCTTGTTTTCAAACACAAAAAGATGTTTGCCCCCTTCATTTCCTAAATTCTTTTAAAATAGAGTCTAGCTTGATGGTTTCTAAGGACACCTCTCTGTCTGCAATTGCTCCAAGACTGCTCTCCCTATGAGAAAAGCCTCTTGTTTTACTCACCAGCCACTTATGTCATAACTAGAAGGTGTTAACTAGAAAAGGGCTTCCTTCTTAGGAGACTTGGAGAGGCAGTTATTTAAAGTCTTCAACAGTGTGGCTTTAAGTATTACGGGCGTTTAAGAATTTATTTGTGCTGGGCGTGTGGCTCATGCCTGTAATCGCAGCACTTGGGAGGCTGAGGCAGGAGGATTGTTGCGAGTTTGACACCAACCTGGGCTACAAAGTGAGCTCAAGGCCAGCCTCAACTGCATAGAGACCTTGTCTCAAAAAGACAAAAAAAAAAAAAAAAAAAAAATTATTTGTAACATTGCTTTTCTAAGAAGCATCCCCAAACACTAGGCTTCATTATGTTTAATTTTTCTGACCCACGAATTTCCCATTCTTTTCTCTTGTACCCAGGATCTCTCTGTTGGTGGTTAAGCTGCTGTCTTACCAGGGCCAGGCTCCAGCGTGGCAGTCTTTTTGGTTAGTGAACCCTTTCCGTTGGCCGGGGGAGGCTCCTGCCTGATGGAGGGCCTGGGCTGGCTGTTCCCTCTCTTGATGACCACGAGGACCTGTTTGTGCAGCTGTGCCTGATGCAGAACCTTCAGGACATCGCCCTGGGCCAAGCTGGCCAGTGAGGCACCATTGATAGAGAGAAGGAAGTCCCCTCGGCTCACAGTCCCTTCCTGAGAAGCCGTCCCCTGAGAAAACACCCTGTGGATCTGAGACAGAGAAAGTGAAAGCTAAATTCACTGATGACCACCAGTAACTGCGAGGGGGTCCCCACATTCTGTAGCAGAGAAACAGTCTCAGTTCAGATTTCCTGATCGTACAAATCCTTGCTTTATTGGTGACATGCTCAGTGTGGGTGTGGGTGTGGGGTGACAGAGGTCAACACCAGCATCTCATGTATTTTCACACTGCTTCTTGTTAGTGACTAATACATGCCTGGCATGCATTGAAGACAGACATGAATGAAGCCTGCCCTTGTCTGATGGAGATGGCCAAAGAAGTTCTTTTATAAGTAGATACAAGTTTAGTCAGTTGATTCTCATTTTTCTAGTGCTTAGTTTAGCCAGAAGGGTATAGTATTGTATAAGTATTGGCATTTGGCCCATATCAGGTCAGCCATATGTTAAAAATACTCATCTTGCTAGCTGTGATGGGGCATGCCTGTAATCCCAGCTATTCAGGAAGCTGAGCATGGGCAGCTTACTGAGATCCTGTCTCAAGACATAAATAAAAAGGCTGGGGGCCAGGCATGGTGGTGCACCCCTGTAATTCCAGCACTCGGGATGCTGAGGTCAGACAGACCTACATAGTAAGTCTGAGGTCACATGGACTCTGTAGTGAGACCCTGTCTCAGAAGCAACAGTAAGAGCCGGGCATGTAGCTCAGTGGTACAGTGCCCCTGGGTTTAATCCTCAGTACCGAAACAACGCCCTAAGAACCCCAAAGCTTGATATCCTCAGAACATTCTTTTTTTGTCAATGAAAACATGCACTACATTCGCTGCTGTTACAGGGAACAAAACCTAGCAGTCACTGAATGCTCTGATCAGAATTCATCTGATTGGAATTCATTTGGCAGCCCAGTAAAGAGTGATTTCCTGAAAGCCTAATGACACTGTCACTTACCATGACTGATTTCAGGTCCACATCTGTCCCTCCTACCACACTGAATCCCAGACTTGAGCCTTCTTTTTTATGCAACACTATGAAGCAAATATCTTCTTTATTCTAGAAAGGAGAAACAAGGAAAAATTACTGTATATTGCCTTATGTCAAGAGTGAGCAGCGCTAAGTTAGGCATGGCAGCATGGTGGTACACGCCCGTCATCCTAGCACTCGAGAGGCTGAGGCAGGGGGATTGCCTGAACTACATAATGAGACTTTCTCAAAAAACCAAAAACCAAACCAAAAAACAGTGAAAAGTTCTGAGCTAAATCCTCCCAGTGACTGTCCAGCTCTCACAGAAACGTCAGTGGAGCCCCGGCTCAGCCATCCTGTGCCTCTCGGGACAGTGTGTCAACGGCAGGTTTGAGGGTGCAGCTGGAGCCCAGGGGAAGAGGTGCACAAATAGGATGGGCAGGGAGCTCTTAGAAGTTTGCACATCTGCAAACCATCTGAGGCACCACGATGCCTTCCTGGATAAGACTAGAGCATGCGGGGCTGGGGATTTAGCTCAGCAGCATAAGCGCCTGCCTTGCAAGTGTAACTCTGGGTCCACAATGCAGCAAAACCAGTTTCAACAGCGCAAAATGCGAAGTGCCAAGATCCCAGGAAAAGCACCCTGAAGCATCTGCTTTCTACTCCCACTTCTTGTGTTCCGGTTATGGGTTTCAGGTGCAGTTAATAAACCAGCCATCATAAAGTGTGCAGTACATTAAAAATATAAAGGATTGAAAATGAACTTCCAGCCTGTTGTGGGATTAGGATATTTTTAGTGGCATCTTAGGGTTAAGGAACAGAGGACTGTTTGTTGGAAGCAAAGACTTTAGAATAAAAGATTTTAAAATCAAAACGTCAGACGGCTAATTCTAAATTTTAACATCCTTCACTCACACATCAGATGTGAGTCAACAATTCTGCATTGCTTGGCTTCCTGTGCAGTGCCCGACAATCCCCTAATTCCACGGTGTTCCCAAACACAGCGACAGACAGGCAGCCTAGCAACCACCCTTGAAGACAGGTGAGAGGTGATGGAATGACAGGAGGGAGGGCCCTCTAACATTCAGGGAAGAATCAACAGGAGAAAGTTGGGGCCTATTAGTGGTGAGGACACATTTTCAAGCATTTTATACCACTCTAAAAAAAAGTTCATTCAAATATGGCCCATGTTCCAATACCTGTGGAACTGCGGAGGGGCTGGGTGACACTTTAAGGGCACCTTTAACCATACATACACTTGGGTGCAGCTCAGTGCACACAGGGAGGGTCGCCACACTTTCTAAACAGATGCTAAAACATGTGGTCCAGGAAATGATCTTTGTGCAGCTTTTGGGAGGTAGTATCCTGCGATCTTCCTGCCTCAGCCTCCCAAATACTGGGATGACAGGCATGTGCCAGCCTACTGCAATGCCCTGGCTGACTTTTGACAAATGTCCAATGTGTTCAATACTTATACCTATTTGATCAGATAATATATGAAAATAAGATTTCTTGTAGTATTTGGGGCATGTTGCCACCAACATTTTAATTTTGTTTTGAGACAGGGTCTTGCTCTGTTCTTGGCTGGCCTTAAACTTGCTGTGTAGCCTAGGCTGGCTCTGATACGATCCTCCTGTCTCAGCCTCCCAGAGTGCTGGGCCTTCTTTGGATTTTTTTCTAGTAGTGTTTGAGGAAACAGGCGTGCCAGCACATGACTTTTCAAGCCAAATTTTGCCTGAGAAGTCTGGTGACCCAAAGCATGGTGTAACATTCTGGAAGGCAGATGATCCATCAAGAGATCTCTGTGCTTAAGTCAGACACAGCTCATTTTGGGCCTCTAATCTCCCACACCACTGCCAGGAGGTCACAGGAAACAGTTTTGTGCAGTTCTGCTTTAGCACCTACAAACCATACTCACTAGGCAAAAGCGAGGCAGAAAACCATGAGCACAGATATAGCAGAGGAGGACTATCTCTGCTCACTGTGCCTCTGAAATCAACTGAAGACAAAAAGAAAACAAGAGGAAAGAGCTGCATTCTGTGGAAGCAGGGATGCTCTTCAACAGCAAACCCCAACAGTGACGTGGGGGGCAAATGGTAAACCAGGGTGCGGGAGGCCCAGGTGACTGGGCGGCACTGGTATTTATCTCTTTGTTTCTGATTCTTGGGTATGCAGTTGGCCGAGACTTTATGGTTTTCTTCTAGGTTTTATCTAACGCTGTAAAAAAAAAAAAAAAAGTTTGGAGCCAAGAGGGCTGGCAAGCAAAATACGAGCCCATCAGTGCCACTGTGACCAGAATTCCCCAGGGACCACCGCCACCTCAGTGCAGCGTGGATTGATGGAGGGAGGGGACAGTGGCCTGGGCTGAAGATGAGAGGTCTGGATGTCTCAGTGCTTCTGAATAGCTTGGTCCTGAAGCCATGGCTGAGAATGAGAAGGGAGAGGGAGGCATGGGGTCTCCTCTGCCCGCCCCTTTCCCTCATCTTCTTGGTCAGCTTATTAGATGCCAAGACTGCTCTTTGGCTGAGAAACCTCACATACTTCCCTCCGGGTAACATCTGAATTTCTGAAATAGTATTTGTCAGTGATGTTTCTAACCTGGGCATATCACCAATATGTTACCAGCTTTAAAAAATTCACTTTTGATTTTTGTTCTCTAAGTATTTATCTACGGTGGACCTTTAAATTATAAACTCAATTCCTTCCGGAGGCCTGGCTGTAACTCAGGTTGTCAGCTGAAGGCTCAGGCTCCTCTACACGGCTTCCAAGTCTCTCTCCTGCACACGGCCAGATCTCAGTGTCCTCAGACACTGGCCCAGGTGCTCAGTGAACCCCACACAGGAAAGGATGTTGTGATGCTCTTTCCAGAACTCCTTAAGGGTTAAATCTGTATCTGAGACCATCTGGAAGCACAAGTAGCCAGCATTTGGGGTCATAACTCAAGACCCTGCTTGTAAGTTAAAACTAAAATTCTGGTCATAATCAAAGTTGTTTGTAGGTCAGGCTGGTTATAACTCGAGAGTCCACTTTATTAGGGTTCAAATTCCTTCCTCCATCTTCTCACTGGGGATTGTACCCAGAAACTTTGCACTGAGCTATATCCTTACCCCTTTATTTTTTGAGACAAGATCTTGATAAGTGGCTGGGTTGCCCAGGCTGGGCTAGAAGTCATGATCTTCCTGCCTCAGCCTCCGGAGTTCTGGGATTATAGGCTTGCACCACCACACCTGGGTAGGGTTTAAATTTCTATGAAGAGTTCTGAGAATCTTTTTTTTTTTTTTTTTTTTTTTTTGTCTTTTTGTGGTATTTATCGGTACCAGGGATCGAACTCATGACTGCCTGCTTGCAAGGCAGGCGCTTATGCCACTGAGCTAAACCCCCAGCCCCCAAATAATGGAAACCTTTTTTAAAAAATGTCTTTTTCCTCTTTATCGGTACCAGGGATCAAACTCACAACTGCCTGCTTGTAAGGCAGGCGCTTATGCCGCTGAGCTAAATCCCCAGCCCCCCGAGTTCTGAGAATCTTGAGATTTTTTTTCCTAGATGTATACCTATATATTCTTGTCTTTGTTCACAGTCGTATCCATTTCATTTAAAAACTTACCTTGTGTTACTCTCTATTTTGTTGTGAAATTGTTTTTTCATAAACTAAGAGAATTAATTTTTTTTTTTTTTTTTGTAATTCCCAATCAGCTTCTTCGGTCTGTACTTTGGGGTTTAGAAACCATGGCACAAGCAGGGCTACACCGCTGTAACTCCTCATTCACCAGCAGGTGGCGCCATTCACCAGTTTATGTCCACCCTTGGGTGGACAGAGGCGCCTGTGGTTAATCCTAGTTCTGCTTAGAGAACCCTCAGCACAGGAGCTCTGGATGTGGAAGGCCGGTGACAGGTTGCTCCCAGGGAGTTTAAAACAGCATCCGCACTAGCGGGGCACCTACCCGAAGACGTCCCCAGCTTCTGATGGAAGCTGGCTGAACGGGTGCTGTGCTCCTGGGCACTGCTGCACTTTTATCTTCTGAGTTCTCAGTATTTCACTCACCTCGGATTGTGCTTTCGCTTCCTGAAGGAGAGTTCGGATGGTAGATTTCGACCCCACGGACTCTAAAACGGCCTGCAGTCTCTGCTGGTCCCCCGCTGAGACGAGAAGCTGATCCAAACTACACAACACACATACATTTGGAGAATACTGAAGAAAACCCCAGCTTCTCCTTCATAGATTTGATGCAGTCTCTTTCTATCAGATGACAGGTATTTTCTGATTTTGTTTTCTTTCAGTCCTAACTCCCACTCTAGACTAACTGAAGGGCCACACAGCTGTGCAGGACAACGCGGGAGCTTCACTGAGCCTACATTCAACACAGGCTCAAGGGAACCCTTCACACGGCGGCTGAAGTCTCCCGCTTACCCCTGGCCACTCTGGGCCGCCCAGGCCTCCCTCCCCGGCCTCTACACCCCCACCTCCACCCCCCACTTGCTGGGGCTTCAGTGCCACGTCCTGTAGGACGCGCTGCTCCGGGCAACATTTCAGCATAGTCAGCAGACAGCAGTGGAATTTATCCAGCGCAATCCGAACACAGTCTGTGGTTTGGTTCATAGGGTGGTTCAATGTTAAGGTCTTACTTTTTGACAAATGGACCGTGGTTCTTATAGATGTCACCTTCGGGAAGAACTAGGCACATGGGAATTCTTTGTATTTCCTTTGTAACTTTTCACCTAAAACTGTTCCAAAACAAAGTGAATATGCTTAAATAAAAGAAGGAGCAGATACTTACCTAACTGACCAGCTTTTCCCGGAAGGCAGATCCTGGACGGGTGCACTGCCTTCGCTGGCTGGACTGGGCGCTGCAGGCTCACTGGCTGGGAGGGCTCCTGCCAGGGGGCCACTGCAGGACCTCCTGGGGACAATCTCCAGCTGGGTTTTGAAGATGACAGCAGTGGGCCCTGCAGGGTACTCCTCACCCCCACAGAGCTTGTCCAGGTCAGGCATGCTCAGCGCTCTGAGTTCCTGCAGCTTGGAGCGGGACACAGGTGAGGGCTGTGTGTGGCGTACCGAGGATTTGCTCTTCCTGATGGGGGACGGTGGGGTCACTGTTGGGGTGGGAATTCCCAAAGGAACTAGTAATTTCTTTTGGTTCGAATCAGGACCCTTGCTGATAGTCTCAGGTGGATTCTGCCGAGAAACGACCAGCGTTGTGCTGGATGGGGACTTGGTCATTTGAAGGGCACTGGCTTCACTCTGGCTTTCACTGCAGGAGCTCAAGCTACGTCTCAGTGACCTTGCTGTGCTGTCACTGGTGTGACAGAGACTCCCGGAAGTGATGCTTCCGGAAGACCGTCTGCCGATGGGAGGCTTGGTGCTCACAGACAAAAATGCGGACACCCCGGCCTTAGCTGTGGGCCGGTCAGAATTGGCCAGGTTCTCAAAGGACTTGATCCTTTGCTTCACAGAAAAGAATGAGGTAGATTCGAGGGGCCAGTTCTGCTCACAGTAGTAGTGCCGTCTGGTGACTCTGACTTTGTCCGTGAGGCAGCCTGTCTCCTGGACTGAGACAGCGTTTGTTTCACCTGTTGTTTGGAGGTTCCTTGACGTTTCCAGCAAAGGCTTTACACTGTACACGCCCTGTCCATTAGTCAGTCCTGAAATGCCCCCTTTGGATGCCTTTGCCTCCACAGGGTGACCACTGCTCTTCACAGGGACCTGGCTGTCCCGAGGAGAGCGACCCGGGCTGTGTGGGGCATGACCGTCCCGTCCGAAGTGGCTTGAGAACTGGGCTGGCATGGAGTAGGTCCTGGTGGCCGGCCGCGGTGTGAAGTACGCAGTGTCCTCCCCTGGAGGGTCCGCTAGGGTCCTATTGCTGGGCACTGCCAGGGAGTCTGACACCTGGATTGGTCCTCCCTGGGCGGAAGCTGCTTTCTTAGCCGTCAGTTGAGGGGAGGAAGAGGAAGCCAGTTTGGCTACACAGAATGATCGCTGAGTTTCCTGCTCCGCGGGAGAGGCAGATGTGATTGAGGATGCATAATTTGGGGCCAGTTCCACTGACTGGTGGGATCTGATTTCACTCTTCTCCTGACAGTGGCTCTGGACCAAGGGCCCTCCCTGTCTGTCACTTGCAGCTGGCTTGTCACCACATGCATTCTTTGGCATTCTTTCAGAAGAAACCTCAACTGTTTTCGGCTGGTTTGTTCTTTCTGGGGGCTCACTGGCAAGTTTTCTGCCTCCTTTTTCACCATTCCCCCTAGCATGGACTTCTGATGCCAGGTCCATTTGGCTGGACATGTGCTGCTCTCCCTGTCTGATCCCTGCTGAGGACACACTGTGCCCTGAGACTATGGGGCTCACAGGCCCAGAGCCAGCATTGGCTCCCCGAGGAGGTCGGGGGACAGCGGAACAGCCTCGGCTGGCTGCTGAGTAGACGGCCGCGTGGAACCTGCTACACGCGCCTGGCTCAGGAAGAGTCTTGGGGGAGGTCAGGGGTGAAGGGCCCGATCGGAGGCTCGTGTCTGATGCTGAGGACTTCAGCGAGCCGGAGGCAGCCAGTGGGGGCTTGCTCTCTAGCATGTTCTGGGGAGGCTTGGAGGTGTCTGAGGTGTTTCTGTCAGACTCCTCGTGGTCAGCTATGTGGAACCGGGGTGCCACTCCCTTAGCAAGTGTCCTGTGTGAGCTCTGGGGTGAAACTAAGGCCTTCCTGTGATCTGCCCCAGCGGCCTTAGCGGAGTTCGAGGGAGGAACCTCACAGCCAACTTTGGTTTTACTTTTGATGCTGAGTCTCTTTAGCTTAGGGCCACACCTGGCTTTCTGACAGTTACTCAAAAGTGCTTCCATTGAACCTTTTTTAGATGAGTCCTTATTCTCAAGACTGTCTTTTAGTGGGGGAGGGCTACTGGGCGTAGCAACCCCCTTTTTGTGGCTTGAGCTCAACACCTGGATTTTAGAGTCAGGACTCCTGACTGGTGGCATAGAGGATTCCTTCTCAGTTTTGTTCTGCATATGGGTACTGTGGTTATTCTTGTTTATTTCTTTAAACCAGCCCACAATGGGCTTCCTGGAGATCAATTTTGGTTTCTGTAACAAGTCATCCAAGTCTTGACTTTCAGAGATACGCAGATTTGCCAGAACCGACTCTCCATTCGTAGGGACATCTGTGCTGCAGGAGTCCGTGTTTTCCGTTGCAGTGGCATTTGTTTCTTGTTTACTTGGGCCTTTGTCATCCAGCAGGTTATGTTCCAAGCCATTCATCATGTTGGGGGAGCTGAGCGTGGCTGGTGGGTTGTGACAGTGCCTGGTGGCTTTCGAAGGCTGGCTGCTGTCCATGGCCAAGCTAGCACTGGGGACTCCCACGGTTTCTCCTGCACACAAGGACCTGTGGTTCTGTGAAACACTTCCACCCACAGGAGTTTCCTGCTCCTGAGAGCTTATATCCAGGAGTGAGGGTGGCTGGGGAGAGTTGGGGACAGAAGTGCAGGAGGAGGCTCTTGGCAAGGAGGAGGCTTTCTCAGAGGGGCTGTCCACGGACTCACTCCGGGCATTGTGCTGTAATGGCAGAACTTTGGCTACAGCAGGGCAGGGCATGGTCTGGGCAGGATGATGGCTATTTGGTGAGGGTGGACTGGGGTGACCATTTGTGGAACAAATTTCAATTTGTTCTTCCTCAGACTCTGTGGTGTCTTCCTTGTGAGAAGACCCATATGGATGAGGAGGTGACCAACTGGCTTTGGAAGAAGCTTGTGCGGCTTCAGTGAGTGACTCGGGGTCAGAAGATGAGTCCTCTGCATCGCCATACATGGATGAGAGGGATGGCTCTGTGCTGTCACCCAGACCTGACAGGGAGATACTGTCATCATGAAAACTGCTAAAATTTCTAGAGTAGCTGCTCAGAAAGCTTTTGTTCACAGTAAAATGTTTGTCAGGGTGAATGGAATCCCAGACTGAAGATTGGGAGGCCCATGGCGGAGCCGCAGGTGGACCAGCAGCCAACGCCCTCTTTGGGGAGGGCGTCTGGTCGCCTGTGACTGGCTGGACAAGGTGAGTACTGCCATCTGCAGCTCCTGCCAGTGGCCAGCTCTGACAACTCCCCTCATGACCTCCGCAGCCACCCTTCTGGGGAGACTGGAGCCTGGCTGCAGAAGCCTCGGACTCCTTGATGAAGCTGTCGATGTCTGTCACGGGGCTCCCTGTGCTCCCAGACGTGCAGCAGTGCCCCGAGATGCCATCACACGTGTCTTTGAGCCTGTCAATGGACACTGGTGGGGAGGGGCTTGCAGACAGGGAATCCTGGTCCTGCTGGGAACTGTGTGGGGTGTCGACTCTGGTCACTTCAGAGGCCTGCCTGTGGTCCCCAGGGGCTCCTTGACACCCCTCCTGGGAGGTGTGGGGGTCTCGTGGCAGGACAGTGCTGGCCGGAGTGGCTCCTTCAGTCCCTGGCCCCAAGCCTCTGGGGGCAGCCACTTTCACGGTGTCGTGGGATAGGTGGGCTCCTGGTGCAGCCTGGGTCTTGCTGAGGTCAGGAGGAGCCACTGCTGTCCCCACAGGGGATTCGTGGCACCTGTGGGGCAGCCTCACCGCAGATCCGCCCTGGGACTCGGGCTCGGGGGCCCTGGGTGAGGGGGGCTGGCTGGGACCCTCAGGCTGGCTGGCTTGCCCTGGGTCTGTGGAGACCTCGCTGGGGTGATGATAAGTGGTTCCCTTCTTTTCTGGGGAGGGGAGGAGGGCCGGGGAGCTGTCCAGTCCTGTGTGGAGAACACACAAAAGGTGGAGTGGTAGGAGAGAAAACAGGAGGCTCTCCATGTCTGCAGACTACAATCGACCCAGTATTTTTCTTTGTCAGGAAGACATTCCACGGCCTGCATGTGGGCCTTCCTGTCTTTCTGTTTTTGTCTCTCAAATTACAGAGCACTCACATTTAACAAACACCACCCTGCTTTACTGGCCCTAAAATAACTCCGACTAGCTGGCAGGAGGAGCGCATGAGCCTGCCTGCTCCTCGAGCTGGGTTTTAGGGGTGGGGGCTGCCGGAAACTCTGTGCTTCTTGGGTGTCTCTGCACAATCTGCTCTCGAGCAGCAGGAGCCACCGCAGGAGGAGCAAGGTTGCTGCTGTCTGTGATTCCCTGGGTTTGGCACGGACGCAGGTGGTCTTGTCTCACCCAACCCCGAGTGGGTGGGTTAGCCGGAAGGGTGTAAAGCGGTTTAAGCTTGGAATTTAGGAGGCTCCAGGAGAGGAGACCGACAACGGGCGCTACAGATGGGATCTACATCTACACGGAGCTTAGCTCTGTGCTGATGAGGCTCGGAGGAGCAGAGCTGCAAGGCCAGGTTATTCTAGGGAGCCTCATGGGGTCCTGGGGACTTGCGGGGAGGGGAGAAGGTTACAGTGCTGAGGAAGAAGAAGACAACAAGAGAATGGACGTAGTGAGAGCAGCAGCACAGGAGCTGAGGTGGCAGGGCAAGGGGACACTGGGAGTGGAGTCACACGTGGCCCTGCATCCTCCCGGGCTCAGCTGTCTTCTAGTTGCACGTAGCACCGCAAAGTTCAGCACATGAAAGCTCTTGGTTGAGAAGAGCTCTCTACCCCAACTGCTACATTCACCCCACATCTCTCACATAAAACGGTGCAGTCACTGCCTGTGCTTTCCCCCTGAGGAGCCTCTGTGAAAAGTTTCTAGCTAATTGGCAGGACCAGCACTGCAGTCTCTCTGCAGGCACGATCAGCGTCGTGCTGTTTTCCTCCTGGCACTGTAAGGATGGCCCTGTGACGGACAGTGTTAGGAGGATGAGGGATGGAGTCACTGAGGGCTTAAGCAACACATCCAGGGTCACAGTTCACAGGCCGAGCCAGGAGTCACCCCAGGAAGCTGGGTCTGCAGCCCCTGCTCTGGCTAAGCCCTGGCTCTGGGGCCTCCGGCCATGTAAGGGGGGGAAGATCATCAAGATGCCCATGGGGAGGGCACGGGACCTCCTGGCCCACCGTGGGGGCCAGGGGCACCTGCCTAAGCCAGGTGCTCCCCTCTGCACATCCTCTCTAAACTCCTTGAGGGTAACGTTCTCGCTTCTGCTGACCCTAAACGCAGGGGGAAGCAGCAGCAGACAAAAGAGTCTTAACGATTATTTTTCAGTTTCAGATTTACTCACCAAACACATCTTAACAGGCAATTTTTGCCAGCTATTTGAATTATTGCAAAATATGTATCATCAAAGGATTTTGAGGGAGATGAAATTAAATGGAAGCAGCCTTTGTGCTCCCTTTCAGAATAATAGTTCCTTTCAGAAGCAGAAATGGCCAATAAGCACATGAAAAAATGCTCAACATCTCTAGCCATTCGAGAAATGCAAATTGAAACAACACTGAGATTCATCTTACTCCGGAAATCATGGCTATCATCAAGGAAACAACCAATACCGAATGCTGGCAGGGCTTTGGGGGTGAAAAAGGAAGCCTTTTCCATTGCTGATGGGACCGTAAACTGGTACAACCACTATGGAAATCTGTATGGAGGTTTCTCTGAAAAATTAAAACTAGAAATTTCATTTGACCCAACAACGTTCCTCCTAGTATCTTCCCAAAAGACTTTAAAACACTGTATGTTTGTAGGAACACAATTAATTGCTAAATCTTAGAAACAGCTTATATGTCCATCAACAGATGAATGGGTAAAAAAATGTGGTATTTACACACAGTGGAGTACCACTTCACCACGAAGCAGGAGTAACTGAAGCCATTTATGGGAGAATGGACTTACACTGAGACCATGGCCTTAAGTGAAGTAAATCGGCACAGGAGCTTAAATATCACACGGTTTCTCTTATATGAGAAGTCCAATATATAAATAAAAGGCAGACAATAGGAAAAAGTTATTATGATCCAGCATGGACAAAGTGTCTAAAAATATGCGTTGACTCAGTATAATTGTCTTACGTGTTTTATCTGATTTTTGGCCTGTTAGTTTGGTGGTCACACTTGGTAGTAAACTTTATATAAACTTATAAACAAATGAATATGATTCTGGCCAAAAAAAAGGAGGCGGGGTAAAGAGGAAAGGAAAAAGATGAACTGAGATGTATTAGGTTCAATGCAATTTTTGGAATCGTACTTCAAACGTGCTGATAAAATAAACAATTTTAAAATGCTTCATTTGGAAACCCCTGAATGTCCCACAGTGGGTGCATGCTCATACGGGGGTGAGGCCTGGCCACCTGGACGCAGGGTACTCGGGAGTGGAAGGTGGGTGGGTGAGCATCAGGGAAAACAGTCCCCGGTCTCTCTCTTTTTAGAGAAACACTGTAGGACAGCATTGTGGGGTTTTTTTTGCTTTCTAGTCCTGGAGATTGAATCCAGGGGTGTCCTATTCCTGGGCTACATGCCTCAGCCCTTTTTAAATTTTAAGACAGAGTCTTGCTAAATTCCCAAGCTGTGTTTCAATTTATGACTCTCCTGCCTCAGCCTCCTGGGCAGCTGGGATTAGTACGCCATGGTGCTTGGGTTATTTGAGAGCCATTATGCATACTCCTATCTGCACAACAGGATGAAAAGGCTACATACCAAAACACTGGTTTCTCTGGGGTCGAGGTGGTTTTTATGCTAACTTTCCATGTTTCCTCTCCACTTCTGCTTGCTGAGTATTTACAGGAGACATGGATGCCTTACATAACACTCATTTAAAATTTTAGTGACATTACAAAAAAAATTTTAGTGATAAATAAGGGGTCTGCTTTCCCCTCACTGCCCCAGGGCTTTCTCACAGCAGCTCTGACAGCTTCACAAAGGTGCCCTCGCCTCCTCCTGGGTCTCAGAGCCACCACAGCAGAGCCGACCTCACGGCCGCACGGCTGGGGCCCGCACCACCTCCACCTCTTTCTAAGCTTTCTGTGAGCAGGTACCTGCATCCCTTCCTCCTTAGGGAAATCACCAGCACATCCTGTAGGTCTTACTGAGGGCACGGGATGCATTAGCACCACGAGGGCTGCACAGGAGACCTCCCGGACTCCTCCCAAACCACCTGACAAGAGGCGACATGAGGGCCTTGTCAGGGTCACCTCCTTTACGTATTAGGAGCTTGATTTGAGCCTGGCCAGCCTGTATGTGGTCCCAGGTTCTTCATTATGACTTTTGGGAAATTAAAAGTGTCTACGTTTTTTTTTAAAGGTAAGATGTTCTTTCATGTATCACTGATATGTTTTGGGATTTTCCCAAAGCAAAATTGGTATGTGTGGAAGAATATGCTTCCTGTAGTACAGTTATTTATAATAAAACCAGAAGAAGGGCTGAGCCTAGCAGACAGGTTCCCAGCGGGGCCAGCGGGTCCCCCTAGAATATTTAATACAAGGGATCAAAGACTTCAGATACACCCCTCTAGCCCTAGAGGGCGCCAATGTGTCACAACTCAGCAAGCCTTGGCAGAGGCCCTTACATTTAAGGATTAAACAGTGACAGGCTGGGCATAGTGACATACACCTGTGATCCTGGCTACTCAGAAGCCTGAGGCAAGAGGATCTCACATTCAGGGTCAGCCTGGGCAACTCAGACTCGTCTCAAAACAAATGAAAAAGTTCTGCGGTAGAGTGTGCCTGCCTGGCATGTGCAAGGCTCTGCATTTGACCCCAAGCACCAAAACTATCTCCCACCCCAAACCAAAGTACAATGCCTCAGTTCTCCTCTCCTCCAACACCAAGTCAAACGCGGCTTCTAATAGAGCTTCTGGGGTTGGCCGGCCTCGAAGCGTTAGTTTGAAGGTAGACACAGGGCTGCCTCCACCTACCTTCTCCTTGCTGTGATAAAACCTCTCTACGTTAACACACTTTGTAATAAAGCCAAACTGCCTGACAACGTCTGCTAAGTGAGTGAACGTGAACACGAAGCCAGCACGGAAACCATAGTAACAGCCTCATCATGGATGGAGGGACAAAGAACCAGAGACCACAGAACACATCAGGACCTTGTATTTTTCCTACGAGCGCCCATCTGAGTGTGGGGTGGGTATACTGAATGAAAAAAAAAGGATTTTTTTCCTTCGGTTCTTGGGATTGAACCAGAAGTACTCTATCAGTGAGGTACAATCAGAGCCTTAAAATTTTGTTTTAGATAAGTGACCCTGGCTGTCTTTGAACTTGCAACCCCCCTGCCTCAGCCTCCCACTGCTGACTCCTGAGAATACAGCATCACTGCATCTGGCTACCAAATTTTTAACTTCGAGGGCATCTGTAACAATGGAGTCAAGCCACCTCATCTCTCTATACCGCCCACCTGCTAACCAATCAGAAAGCAGCTAGGCGGCCAGCACCCCACTGGCCAGTATACAGCCGCTAACAAAGGTGCTCCTGGCCAAGGTGGACATTTAGAATACTAATTTTAAATCTGCACAAACAAGGCAGTGAAGTCACTTAATCAGCTCGACTTTAAAAGTAAGATGCTGGACGGCCACATCAATACTGACACGATTTCTGCCTCCGCGACCAGGTCCCCTCTCTCCATCTCCCAACAATGCCGTGCCCGTGATGTCACATGAGGACTGAGGAGTGGCAAATCTTCCCGTTTTGTCCTGTGCCTCCTCTGTGTCACTCATGGGTAAAGAGTATCGCGGAATGGAAGAGGACGCGAGCCTGCAACCAGAGCTCTGATTCAGGCGCCACGATCCGGTCAAGTGTTAAGTGAGGCAGCATTTAAAGGTCACCGACTTGTATCTGAGGTTTTTTTCCCCTCCTCAAAATGATCCCGTGTTAGCACTTTCCTCGGAGGCCCTGCCTTCCTCTCTTTAAACTGAAATGATAAAGTCGTTTACCAGTCTCGGGTTGCGGTCCCTGCTCTGGTGCAGCTTCGGACAGGTTCTCTGTGAGGCGTCCAGTGTCCGTGTGGGACAGAGCTCTGGGTGTCCCGCAGTCCGTGGGGACACGTCCGTCCCCAGGGGCCAGCTTTCCCAGAGGTTCCTGGCATGGTGATAACCAGAAGTCGCTGTTAATAGTGTCTAGGTTTTCTGCATCTTAAGACACTATCATCTACCAAGGAGAGCTGGCTGGGAAAAGCTGAAAGAGCCCTGGCCCAGGAGCCAGAAGATTAGGACTCTGGAAATGAAATGGCCTTGTCACTGAGCCTCAGTTTGCATAGCTTTAAAATGGGCAGAAGATGTGCCCAGTGTTAGAGTTTAAATAAAATATAAATAAATGAGAATAGCTATAAAAATAGCATATTAGACAGATGGAAATTACTATTGTAATACTGAACACAAATATCGAAGACCTAGAATCAGTTCCTTAGTTTGGTAGTCAGGGAGAAGATGAATCTAGATAGATGAAGCTAACATCTAACATTTCAAAATTTTCCTTAGGCCAAGTGTCAATTACTTTATCTTCCTTCTCTTATCTAATACTCATCACAAAGTTTAAACAAAAACTTACACATTGATTTGAAATTTATCCACTGAGTTGGTGAGTCACGAAGTGGCCCACAGGTAGCAGCGGGGTGAGAGGGGAAAGGCGTAATGTGTCCTTCAGGAACTTACAAAAAAGTCATTTCAGAAAATACCTCTTACTGGCTGAGCGACTTCCTTAGGGTTTACCTCAGTTAATTTTCTGTTTGTTGGTAACAGGGCAGCTGCAGAGTTTTAGATCACTGCAGAGGTCATGTTTGCCCTGCACTGTGAGCAGATTAACTGGTGCTGAACTACACACTTTCCAATGCTTAATTTTATACATTTTACCTCAATAAAATAGATAAAAGCAATAGAAAACAACCCACTTATCAAAAAAGAAAGCTTTTTTTTTCTGTATTCAGCGTCCAATATTTGAGGATATGTTATAGCAATACATTCTATTTTCTTTTTTATATATAAATAAAATCAAATTTTGGCAATAAGATTTTTATGAGAAAATTCAGTCCTTTTGTATAAAAACTTTAAGTGCTGCTCAAAAGTTGTCATAGAGGCTATAAAATCAAAATTGCAGAAGTTCTTATTTTTAATAGCTTATAAGTTATTATAAATAGAATCCTGATTGTGCCCTATATAGTTATCCAAAACTTGATGATGATACTTTGTAAGTAGGAATGTACCCGTTGGTTGACCACTACATTATAAAACCCCCATTGGCTGGGGGTAGAATGTGAGTTTTGAGGAAGGGAAAAAAAGATGTGTATTTCTATTTGTTTTTGAAAAAAAGATTGAAAAAAGATTTCTTATCTAGCTTTTATAACTTTTCCCTCTGGGTCTATTCACACATATGTGTAGACAAACCACCTGAACGTCTTCATACACGTGGTCCTGCAAGTCATCTCGGAACCTGTGCTCAGACAGAGATTATTTATCTTGAGGAGACTATAAACAACCCTAGTTTCTCTTACTCTCTCCTTGCTAACTTGGAGAGAGTAAACTTGGAATAAAAAGGATAATTAGGTGACGCTAACATACTTGCAAGCAAGTAGCAACAGGAAGTTAACGTGCGTGGACACGGCATTGTGAGTTTCTAGGCCACAGCATCCCCCTTACTTCACAAGACACGACAAGGGTCTGCAGAGCCGTGATTCTACAGAATCGCTGCACGGATTTGGGAAAATTAAAGATCACTCATAACCTCACCAGCAGGCAAGAATCACTGTGGACATCTGGGTGTCACCCGGCGTTACCAGCTGACTGAGACAGTGCCACCCCATTTACAGTCCAGTGAAAAACAAGGCTCACGAGACTCAATACTCTGCGCCAAGGGCCACTTGACTAGTGCCAACCAGCCCGTGAGCAGCTGGCACCAGGCCGGGGCTTTACTTCTCCCATTACACACTGCTTCCCCTTTGCCAACCGCTGGTCCAGGGCACAGGGAAGGGGGCGCCTGTATCTTTGGCTGAATGCTCTTATGCCTAACAACCTGCCAGTATGTAACAGGCTCCCATTCTCTGGATCGCCAATGGAAGGTAATTCCTGATGCCCATCCTTCTTGGGAGAGGAGCCTGTGCTTGAGGACAGACCCTGCGTTCACTTGCAGTGTTCACTGAGACTCAAGGTTAGGATGGGGGAGTCACTCACCTCTGCAGTGCCCCCTGGTGGCGGACCAGTGATAATCTCGCTGAAGAGAGTGGCTTGGATCTTCAAGTCCTGACCACTCGGCCCATCAGTTCTGCTGGACAAGGCTGCTGTCTCCGCCGTGGGCCTCTTGCAGTGGGGGGTGACCTTGGCCACTGGTTTGTGCCTGGACCCGAGGTCTTCACTCTTCTGCTTGGGAGAAATGGGGTTCTCTGTGTTCACCACACCCTGGATGTCCGCAGGGACTTTGTATTCCAATTTGGGTGAACTCTTTGATCCCGAGAGTTCCTTTCTTCCCAGGCCTCCAGGGCTACGCTTGGGGGCTTGGCTGGATCCCTGGGAAGGAGCAGGCGCCACGCCCTCCGGCACACTGTCCTCCAAGTTCAGCGAGCTGCCCAGGAGCGGCACCGAACAGGCTTTGCTGACCAGCGTTTTCTGGGGCAGCTCCTCTTGCTTGTTGATGTCCACAGCCTTGGGAGAGATCGTGGAGCCAGGCCTGGCATCGTTCTCTGTCAGGGGCCTGCTGGGATCCGGAATGGCTCTTGAGAGAGAAATGCAGTCCCTTTCTCCGTCGAACTCTTCCTCATCACTGGCATCGTTGGCATCGTAGCAGCCCACCTTCCTCTGGCGGAGGAGGGGGTTCCTGAGGGCCTGTGGGCTTCCAGGGAGACTGGCTTGTCTGGTAACTGTCACCTGCTTGTGGAAGAGGCCAGAGGTCCGCTGGCTTCCGAGAGCCACGAGGCTGTTGGCCCGGGGTTTTCCTGGCTCCCTGTGAGCTGGGAGTGGAGGGACAATAAGACAAATCAGATAAACTGAGTAGTGAATGCATCTGGCCTGGCCTTATAATTTAACCCCATCATTACATGCCAAGTATTTCCACATTCACAGATGCCAGGCATGCAACTTCTGGCCACTGGATGCTTAAATAATATGGTGCCTGGGATCTGCATAGGGTGGGCAGCAAGCCTCAAACTTCCTTTTTCCTGTGGCTGCTCCTGGGTGACCTCAGTGGCATGCTGTTTTCAACCTGCATGATGTCTCACATACTGCTGGGTCTGACCTACATGCTGCTGCGGAGCACTCCTCCCTGGACGGATGGGACCAGTGACGCCTCCCACACCCCTGACCCTTCTCAGAACCCAAGGTCCCTCCTTCATCAGAAGCAGGGGGCTTGAGTAATAGGCCTATTATGTGGGGAGGATGCAAGCTTTCTACTTCTCAAAGCAGAAGGTGTCAATTCCCAGCCAAGGAAGGGAGAATGCACAGGCTGCTCTGCAAACTCTTGACATCCTGCGGCTCAGTGAAAAATCACACAGGCGCACACCTTGACGTGCGCTGTCAGAGGACGCAGCAGGCTCAGCGGTGGCTCTAGATGCGTCAGAACTGTCACTGCCCTCCGAAGAGCGGGGCCTTGCCTTGTCTTCCCTTTCCATTTCTCCTCCCTCCCTTCCTTTCTTTCCTTCCACTCCTCTGCCTTTATCTTTTTCTTTTCTTTGATGTGGCGCTGATGAACGGAACCCGAGGCTTTGGGAAGGTTACACAAGGGCCCTGTCCCCGAGCTACAGCCCTTCTCACTCAGCCATTAGAAACCCTGTCAGCAGAAGTCCTGTGGCTCACATCACGTTATCACCTCATCATGAGTAGATAATCAGGGACAGTGAAAAGCAGAACAAAGCAAAAACCACCTTATGATAAAGCTATCTCTCATTAACTTTAAAGCTTTCACTGCCTTCAAAAAGAATTAAGTTAGATCATTGGTTGTTCTAGAAATTCAAAGTAGAACACTGAAATTTCATCTCACTCCAGAAAGAATGGCTGTCCTCAAGAAATCAACCAATAACAAAGGCAGGCGGGGCTGTGGGAAAAAAGAAACCCTCCTCCATTATTGTTGGGAGTGCAGACTGGTGCAACCACTGTGGAAATCAGTGTGGAGATTTCTCAAAAAACTAGGGTTGGAGGTCCATCAATCCAGCTATTCCCCTTCTGGGTATCTTCCTAGAAGAACTGAAAACATCATACCACAGTGACTTATGTGCACCCATGTTTATAGCAGCACAATTTGTAATAGCTAAATCTTGGAAGCAACCCAAATGCCCATCAACTCTGAGTGGAAAACTGGAAGAGTAAATAAGATCCAAAAGGTGTAAGAGGTATTGTGAAAGTGAAAGTGAAACAAACTGTTCAAAAGGAAAGGATGATCAAAACTAGGATGGGGAAGGCAGAAGGGAAAAGTGTATACAGTACATATATGTACACACATGCAAGACAGATAACTATACTACTAATCTCTGCTCATCAAAAAGAATGATTTGTGCTTTCACTGTATGAGCATTTTTTTCATGCCTATATCTTGTAATCTGAACAACTACTTTGAAGACACCAATGTGCAATATATTAAGCATTGTCAATCTATTACTTTGTTCCAAAATTCTGCATCATCATTGTTATTTTTTTCATTTTAAAATTGAGAAAGAGAGAGAGAGAAGGAAGGAAGGAAGGAAGTTAGGACCCAGGGAGGGACGGGACCTGGAATTTGCCCTAGATTCTCTAACATAGAGGGCTGCATGTTGCCCACCGTGATCTGATGAAATCTGAGCCTGCATGCTGCAAATGGCATGTAAGAGCAATGAATGCAGGTTTGCACCTTCCCCTGGGAACACCCCTGCTCACTGCATTCACAGTGGCCGCATCTCCCAAGACTAAACCCTGCTTCCTGCCAGTGAAGAAAGATGGCATCTACTCGGCCAGAGGTGTGGCTCCCAGTCCTTTTGCTGCAGTGCCAGGAGTGTTAAAGTACCCAGTGGGGAGCTGCTTGCTGGCAGGCCATGCCTAGGCGGGGGGTCCCTGCTTACTGGAGGCTCCCGGAGTCAGGCTGTGGTCCTCGGACGCGGACGCGCTGCAGCCACTTCCAGGGTGATCCTCGTCCTCGGAGCCGGCTGCCATGAAGTCTGACAGGGAGCCCTGGGCATCGTGGGCAAAGTACTGGGAGAACTCGGAATCAGCAATCAAGGATTCCTGTTGGGGAAGCAAATGCTGGACGTCTCCGCTTTTCTTGGAAGAGGTACAGAGGCAGAGTTTGAAACGGTAATTACTTCCCATCTTTCCAAGAACACTTTGTTCTAATCCATGGACACTGAAAATAGCCTGGATAGTAAACACCCATCTCCATTTACTTTAGGATGGCTAAATGGACAATTAATGAATAAAAAGGTGACTGCTGCTGCCAGACCCTGATTTTAGAGATTTTTGGGGGGGCCGCGTTTTTGGCAATGATCAGCAAAGCTGAGGCAGCGCATTATCAACCATCCCAGAAAAAGCATTGGGAGAAGGAGTTGGAAAATAGAATAAAATTCCAAGTCAAATGGCCTACCAAACTGATGAAAGCAAAGAACAGGAGTCTGACTCCTACGCCCTGATCTAGCAGGATTTAGGAATTCCCAAAAAAGTAAGGCCTGATTTATTATGGAATAATTTAAAAAGCTGCTTTTCAAACCACAGGGTTTTTTTTGTGTGTGTGTGCATTACTCTTTTCTGAATGAATATTTAATAAGAGAAATACATTTGGGTATTTGTTCTCAAATTAGCATGGTTGCTATTTCCTATATGAAGTGGCATAAAGGGCTCATGGACAGAAATATGCACTGAGCAGGCACCACTTGACTTCCAGGCTCCCAAGATCGCATGGCTGAGCTGAGCTGGGTAGCAGCAGTGTCTTAACTCACCTTTTTGGCAAGAGAGGGACTCTTCAAGGGGGTACCTGTAGGGAGAAGATCCATCGTATTGTCAAAATGAAGAGCTAAAAGCACAAGCAGGATCATGTACTTAGCCAGGAAGGCATGCAGAAGCCAAACATATTAAACCAAACCTCCCTTTGCTTGAGGGGTGCTAATGAGTTGGAAGCATAGGCAGAGCTGCCTTTGTCATCCACCTGGTTCCCAGCCCCATCCCATCCCACTCCGAAGACCGCTCATGCCCCAAGCTCTGCCTCTGACGCTCCCACCTCAGTGATGTCCTCAGACGGAAGTAATTCCTTCTGAATTTCCAAAGTATTTGATATACCCTCACCTCCATTTCCATAAGATAATTTAATGATGAGTGCTTATGTCTCATCTTTCTTCCTCAACTGTTTAACAATTTATAGAGCAGAGATACAGACTGCTCTGACCCATGGGCTGGGCACTGTACTGCTGTCTGGTAAGTGTCGGGTGGTTTTACTGAATGGATGGGACAAATGAACACCATCCAGAAGACCAGGAAAGAACTGGGGCAAAGCTTAGATATGTTTCAGTTTTTGAAGGAAGGCTGAAAAGTGCAGCATTTAGACTTTCATTTATATGCCATGATCAAAAGAGATTTAGTGCATGAGGATCGTGGCTTAATAAAATCCTTTCTAGCTGCATAAGTGGAGACGTAGGGATTAGCAATGTGCAGCTTTTAGGCAGAGCGGGATAATAAATAGTTGCATAATAGCCTATTATGGCTGAGTCCACTTTAAATATATTAATTATGGATGCAAATAATCAGGGCTTTTCATGGTTGCCAAAAAATCCTATGCCTTCCCTTTCCTCTGATAACCAGTAACTTATACTGCAGTTCCTTTTCCTCTGGGACATCAGTCAGGACACCAGCAAAATCTCAAGCTCAGAAATGTGTGTGGAAACCTTTAGGTTTCCATCACAGGAAACAGAAGATTTAACACTCAACGTCATGTTTTAATTTCCGATGGAACTTCTTTAATTCCAATCCTTCCCTATCTAAACTTTTATACATAAGGGGAAAATCACAAATTCAGCTGCCTCTATTACCCCCTCTGCACTGACGTTTTTCAATTCACATAAATCTCAGGCTTTTGGATGGAGAATACTCTACCTACCGAATTACTCATATTTTGGTATCATTTCACTTTTTATCTATCTATAGCATCTTAGATGAATCGTGCATAAATACACGAAATGCTCTTAGCTCACTGGCAAATTATTTGAAAGTGATGTAAGAAGCATGCATGATTAGATCTTTAATGAAGTACATTAAATAACTGTGGAAATCAAAAGTAGCAACCAAGGGAAAGCACAGACTCTGTCTGACAGCTACTTTCACCAACCCTGATAATTACAATGAATCCAATTGGGTTCCACCCGGAGTGCCCCATGGGTGAACTTAATGAGAAACTCTACTGAATGTTGAATGAAAATGTGCAATTACAGTACCTAAGCCAGGAGAAGAATTGGCCTCTTTGCTCTCTTGGTAAGTGCTGCGTGCTATCACTTCATCCATTTCCTGCTCGGAAACCTGATTTTCAGCAGAGCGCACAAATTAGATGGCTTTATTTATTTATTTTCCCCCCAAGAAAGGCAGCTAAGACTACAGTCAGAGGTGAGTGCAGATAAATAGGCGAACCGCAAGATGAAAGATTAGGACCATCCTCTTGGCGATAACTCAGGCCATGTAAGTAATAGGGAGGTTAATGGATGGCTCAGATCACACACACGCAAGACCATCAACTGATCCAAATTCATTAAGCAAAGCATTCAGGGGCTCTCATCACCCATGACACGGTTGGTATCTGCCTCTCAATAGTGTACTCACTTCTCATTTTTTTAATGGTACTGGGGATGGAAGTCAGGGTCTCACATAGGCTAGGCATGTGCTTTACCACTGAGCCACTTCCCTAGCCCCTAATGTTTTTAAAAAATTAAACTTTAAAGTGGTATTAAACCTATAAAAAAGTCCCACAAAAATACAAACGAAACAAAAAAAAAAAAAAAAAAAAGAAAGAAAAAACAGCAACAAAACCAAAAACCAAACAAAAATACCAAACAAACAAAAACATGCCAAGAGTACTATAAAAATAACATACTCCTCACCAGAATATTTTCTTTTCTTTTGCGGTACTGGAGAGTAAAAGCAGTACTTTCTCAGTGAATTCCACCGCAACACTTTTTATTTCATCAATCAACCCACCGTAGTACTGGAGACTGAACTGAAGGCCTTCCCTCTGAGCCACCTCCTTAGCCCGTTTTAAAATGTTTTCTTTATTATTTTGGGACAAGCAAGTTCCTAAGTCACTATATTGCCCAGATTGAGCTTGAATTTTGTGATTCAAGTTCCTAAGTCACTATATTGCCCAGATTGAGCTTGAATTTTGTGATTCTCAGCTTCTTAAGGAGATAGGGCTATAGTCAAGAGCTAACACAAAAGATTTACCAACTTTTTTTTTTTTTTCTTTTTCCTTTTTATCAGTCAGTACCAGGGATCAAACTCACGACTGCCTGCTTTAAAGGCAGGCGCTTATGCCGCTGAGCTAAATCCCCAGCCCCAGATTTACCAGCTTTTAACATCTTGCTACATATACACGCATGCCTTCTCTATGTGCTTGTGTGTATAAACATAAACACATATACACATATACACACTTACTTTACCATAACTCTTTGCTGGACCATTTGCAAATCACGATCTTTCACCTGGAAATATTTTAGGACATACCTCCTACCAACACCACTTTCTCAAATAGCCATGTTACTATTATCCGCTTCAGAAAATTTATCACTGATGACTGTTCAGCATATTTTATATTGATTTAACCAATTGTTTTTTTTTTTTTTTAGTCTTTTTCCTTTTTATCGGTACCAGGGATCGAACTCACGACTGCTTGCTTGCAAGGCAGGCGCTTATGCTGCTGAGCTAAATCCCCAGCCCTAACCAATTGTTCTAATGCTACCTTACTTTTAGGAGTGGTACTCAAAGTGTGTGTGCAGGCAGCGATCAGTTCATAGAAAGTTTGACCCCAGTCTGTGATAAAGCCTTTTCTTCAGAAAGCAAATCAGCAAGCAGTTTCCTTCATCAGCAAAGTCCTGCAAGGGTGAAGATGCTCACTGACCTAAAGGGAGCTTCTAGCAGTGCAGTGGATTTCCATTCTGGTATGAGCGCATCTTGTTTTGGACAGTGGACCATCATGGACTAACTTTTTTGCATAGTAATGCTTTAAAGAAAAATTGCTTTTGGCAATCCAGAATGCAATCCAGAATTTAGCTGTCACATCTCTTTTATCTCTGTTAAACTCAAACAGTTCTGAGGCTTTGTCTTTTATGATACTGATACTTTGGAAGCAATCCAGGCCAAGATGAACCCTCCATCACAATCTGCCTGATAATTTCCTCATGCTAGCAATCAGATCATATATTTTTTTCTTTTCTTTTTTGGTAGAGAAACTACAAAAACTAGGTTGCTTGTTCATGCATATAGAGGCACTCAAAGACAACATGTGTCATAACTGGTGATGATATCTTTGATCTCTTGGTTAAGATGGGACTTGCCAGTTTTCTCCATGGGATTTTCCAAGGTCATTAGTAATAATCTATGAGGTTATAGTTGAGACAGTGTAAAAATCCTGCTGCCTCAAGATACTTTTATCTCATGCCTTTACCTCCATGATGATTCTTGCCTGAATCAATTATTACTATGAAAGTTTTATTTTATTTTAGTACCGGGGATTGAACTCACAACCATGCGCTTGCAAGGCAGGTGTTTATGCCACTGAGCTAAATCCCCGGCCCTACTATGAAAATTTTAAAACAGCAGTCTGTTAACTCATTTATTCCTTCTACATTGATTAGTATCTATACTGATTAGCAGATTGATAGAAGATCTTTTCCTATTAGTTGTTATCCTTAACTATCATTATTTATGAAAAAGTTTTTTAAAAAATCTGACATATACTGAATATGGCACTATTTCAAAAGATAACTGGAAAACTTATGGATTTTCTTTTTTAATGGTACTATTTTAAACTTACAATGGTAATTTTGCACTAAAATAATATTTAGTTCAAATAATATTTGGATAAGCATAATGATTTACCTTAATAATACATATTTCTATTTTGGACTCAACATTACTTTTTTTTTTTGGCCTTTCTCATTTTTGTCAGTACCAGGGATCGAACTCAAGACTGCCTGCTTGAAGGCAGGCACTTATGCCGCTGAGCTAAATCCCCAGCCCCAACATTACTTTGTTTTTTTGGTATGGGGTATTGAACTCATGATCTCGCACTTGCCAAGCAAGCACTTTCACCACTGAGCTATGTGCTCGGCCCTCAACATTACATTTTAACTTAACAAATAAATCAAAATTATATCCTGACCTTCAAGGAAAGTAGGCTTCACAGGAAATAAACTATGCACACATACATGTACATAGCCATAAATACTCACATATGCACGCCTCCACAAAGCAAAGAGTGATTTTGTACAAAACAGCCAGGAAAAATATCAGCTTAAACAGTGCCTGCTATTTTCCCTGATACTAGACTTTCAATATTTGTAATTGTTTTTCTGAGTGGGTGAAAAAAGGGACTCCTATTACTTTCTCCTACTTAACAGAGCGAGAAGCTGCTTTCCAAGCAGCTCCAAGTCTCAGCCTGTCTAGACCCGAAGGGTTTGAATATCCCAATCGGGCAGCCGCTGCCCCAGACATTAAGAAAAACAGAAGAAATGAAAATCCTTGCGGTATTTCTTTTGGAACTACACAAAAACTGATGGAGCACAAACACTGAGTATCAAGATGAACGCCTGGCATGGAATGCTGAGACAAATGGTATAAAAATACATTAAACATAAAATGGAATCTTGACCGAAAGAAAAATACAGTATGATGTTACTACTAAGAACACCATGTTTACCTAAGAAGAAACCTGAAATCTGGGCAAATACTGAAATGAAGTTTTGCTGGACACATTTCCAGCACCATCACGGAAGCCCATCTGGTTGTGGCTAAAAACACGAAGCAAGTTGTGTGTTCAGGGTCTCGGACCACCTGCCCATCAGGGCCGTGCTCTGCGCCAAGAAGTGTCATTTTGATTCCTGACTGTATTGGCAAATAGAGAGAAGCTTTGGGGCTGAGATGGAGGGGACTCAAGCAAATCACGACCCCTTTTACGCTGGGAAGGACTTTGAAGTCAGACACGCCTCGAGGCCAGTGACCGCAGACCACTGAAAACTTAATTTTCTCTAATGCCGCCGGGGGAGGTATCAGGGCAGCCGCAGCTTACTGGACCACTCCTGAGGCAGGGGGCGGCGGGAAGTGTGGGCGACAGAAGCCAAGTAAGTGCAGGTCCTCAGGAAGGACAGAGACAGAGAGAGACAAAGTTGAACAGATTTTTAAAAGAGAAGACATCACATGTATAGAATGGAAAGAAGAATGGAAAAAACAGAAAGCAGGCATAGGCTTTATGTGAGAGATTTTTACTTTTTACCTTTTTTTTGGTACCAAGAATTGAACTCATGACCTTGCAGTTGCCAGACAGGTACTTATGCTGCTGAGCTATATCCCTAACCCCTATTAAAACATTTTTAATGCAAGACTTTTCTGAGATAAAACAACTTGGAAAAAGTACTGCAGTTGCCTTTGACTCAGCCTAAGGACGATGTCTGTCCAAACACTGTTGTTGCCATCAAATCCCAGATCAAGGCGCAGACTCCAGGCTGCGGTGCACCTATCCATCGGGGGAGGGCCAGTATAACCAAGCAAACTGTCTCAGGGTCCCAGAGTGATGCTGCCGAGGCATCTCTGACATGGCACGTGGGGGCATGCACAGGGCTCTTGGCACAGACTGTTAGTTGTCTCAATAATTTAGTGTATTTTCATTTATTGTATTTGGATGACATCAACTCCTAAATCTAAACTCAATTGCTATTTTTATTAAGACCAAGATGTAATTTTTTAAAAAGGGTCTTTCCATGTAGTTCAGGCTGGACTTTAACTCACTAAAACCCTTACTTGGCCTCAAACTTGTGGCGATCCTCCTGTGTTAGCTTCCTGAGTGCTGGGATTACAGGTATGTGCCACCATGCCCAGCTTAATCTTATTTTTTTCCCCACTTTTTGTTTGCTTTTCGAAACAGGGTCTCATTATATAGTTCAGGCTGGCCATGAACTCACTACGTAGTCCAAGATGACCTGGAACTCAGAGATCCTCCTGCCTCAGCATCCCAGGATTCCAGCCATGTGACACCACACCCAGCCATTCTGGCAGATTTGTACCTGCCCAAAACATACTTTAAACGTCTCCCTTCCCTTATCTCCTTAGTTGACTGCATATAAGTACAGCAGCCTGAGACCATCTTAATAACTATTTTAGTTGTGAAGAGGAAAAGGTTCAAATTTGTTAAATATGAACAAATGGTGATAACATTAGGGATAAAGTAAATTTAAGAATGTTGTTATAGGGCTGAGGATTTAGCTCAGTGGCATAAGCACCTGCCTGGCAAGTGTGAAGTCGTGAGTTCGATCCCGGTACCAAAAACAAACAAAAAAAGAATGTCAAGGACTCAAAACAATGACAAAAAACCCTGGTAAAATATCCTGTGATTAACTCCTAAAAACTGAAAGCAGCTCTACAAGTGTGCGGCCAAATGAGGCCAGTGATTCATGGATTATGAATGATTATTCCCACAAGCTCATTATGGATCGACAGTGCGATAATAATGTTGGGAAAAAACCCATGTGGGTTGTGGGGCTTTTAACTGCAGAAGGATTCTGCTCAGGAGGATGACAGCCTGGACAGAGGAGGGATCACTCTTCAGTCTGGGTCCCTTCTTTTATCTCGTGATGGTACTGTCCTCATACTGTGCCAACATGGCCATGAGGGGATGGGAATTTGATGCAAGGTATTGGCTTTGTCTACAAATAAAACATGTTCCCAAATCTTTATACCCCCTAGAATCTCTGTGGGTTCAGACCTTCAGACTAGACTGTAAGCTTCCTAGTTGAGATGCACCCAAATTCATCCAGGGAGCTCTGCCATGGCAACATTCCCTGGCACTTAGTGGAAGCCCGATGAATATCTGGATAATGAATTTGATCTGGGGTAACTACCTCTGAGCTACTAGCATCAGACTTGAAGATTCTTTGCTCTGCCCTGCTGAATAAAAACTTAAAACTTGTAAGTAAGCAAAGGTCATTTAATGCTTCAACAGAAGACCACATGAGCATCCTCACAGTGGGGAATGGGGTTGAGCTACAGTGATTTGTATGTCTTACTGGGTCCAAGTCACATGTAGGATTCCTATGAGGTCATCCACATGTGACCTACCAAGAAAGGATCCCGTTTTCAGACTATTCTTTAGCAGAACAAGCAAAACCAGTATCAGACAATGTGGATGTGAGCCCAGCAGGGGAGAATTTCAGTACGTATTTAGGCTGTGTAAGTAGATTTGAGAACATTTGTGCAAGCAGCTAGTGGAGAAGATACTAATGTGAATTTAACAAGTTATATCCATCGGACAGAAAAACGGAATCCTCCACAAAATTAAAAAAATGTAATAGATAACTTCCTTGGTGTGGTTTGAAATGCTTGGGTTTTTTCTTGACCAACTTCGATGGAAGCAAAGTCTACAAAGTAATATCTACAAATAAGCAATTGGTTTGGAAAGCCAGATTTCTCCTTATGTTTACTTAAATAGCATGAAACAGTAATTTGGTAACTTTTTGACCTGACAAACAATATTAAGAAAGCAACTTTTCTCCTCAAATCTGAAGACATTCACTTTTCCTTGAAAAATGTCATTGTAGAAATCCTATAGGAATGCAAAGACAGCCACTAGTTCACGTGAATTGTGTATTACACAAGTTTAAGTTGAATTCCAAATAGTCATCTTTCTGATCATTGTAAGAACTCACTTTTATACTATTTCAATCTTGTCATATTCTCATTTCTTACTTAAATAAAGTTAAAAATTCAGACTCTGCTTTGAAAATTACTTTGCATTAAACTTAAAGATGAGAGAATTTCCAACATATAGATAAACAAGAGATGCTGGTTACAACATTTTTTTCTTAGCTTAATCTGAAAAGGTCATACAGATCATGAAGCATAACACACTCAGATTTTCTTGGTGTAGATACCCACAGAGTTCAAGTATCTTACCAGCAAACAGCCAGTAGGGGTTACTCAGAATTTAGAATTCTCACTTTATATTACATCAAATTTTATTTTATAAGTTTTTTCCCCCTCTTTTTTAGACTCTGAATTTTGTTACATTGCCCTGACTGGCCTCAAATTTCTGGGCTCAAGAGATCCTTCTGCTTCAGCCTCTCAAACAATTGAGGCTGTAGGAATGAGTTACAGAGTCTGTCCCACTACCCCAAATTTAAAGTCACCAAGAACATTGTCCAGGGGGCTGGGGATTTAGCTCAGCGGAATAAGCGCCTGCCTTACAAGTAGGCAGCTGTGAGTTCGATCCCTGGTACCAATAAAAAGGTAAAAAAGACAGCTGAGATAAAAATTTACTGCCCACATGTATCAGCACAGGCTCACATTCCATTCCACCCTCAGTGACCTGTCTGGTCCTCCGACTGTGGACCACTGATGCTGGACAGACACAACCAGGCCATCTTCCCGAAGCAGGATGGGCAGAACTACTTCACCTTAGGGTTGGGGTGGCGGCCAATGACCAGGCGGACAGGTCCCGGAGGGCATTTGCTCAGGATGGAGTGCACTTTGCTAAGAGCAGCATGACGGACATTGACGGAGTTCACTTCTAGGATTTGGTCTCCGCGGCTGGGGAGGGCGACACAATTGACACTCTGTGTAATAGCCTTTTAAAAGCGAAGAAAGCTTTCCTTATGTGGGAGATTTTAAATACAAACTCTTTTGGGAATACTTTAAAACAGCAAATGACATCCTTTCATGACCTAGGAAAAAGCAACTCATGCATCTGAACACACTGGGTTTTGAACTGGCGAAATCTTTTATCTGTATCAACTGACACTTAGAAGTAAATAAAATGGTTAATAGGAGCAACCATGAAAGCTACCATTTCTTGAGCACATACTGTATGCCAGGCCTCTGTATCAAACAATGTAATAATGCTTCTAATAGGAATAACTATTTCCCTGTTATGCAGCAGGGGCCATGGACTCAGACAGGTCACCTGGATGCCACACAGTACTGAACTAATTCAAGTCTGTCTGACTCGATCATCACGTGACAACCCCTCGACCACCACCAGTTTCTTCCTTCTTCTGACCATCTTGAAATGATTATTGTAATATAATTTAAGGAGGAAATATCTGAAAGCTCAAAGGTTACCCAAGAATTTGTAAAAACCTTTCACATTTGAACAAATGAGAAATTGGGGACAAGTTGCCCATTTTGACTTGAAATTATAGGGAGAGAACGCAGTAGGAGAGAACAAAGACTCTTTACATGGGTTTGAAGAATGTTCATTTGGCAGGCTCCACACATATGGAACCATTCAAGAAAGAAACATCATCCTGGGATATCATTAAGAGACGTTTCTTTTCCTTGGGTTCTAAAAGTATATTTTCTTTAATGTACTTTTGGATGATTTGCTAAGTTTTTTTAATATGGAAATTTACTCTGATGATTAACTAAGTCTGTAATGTAATCTATTAACAGGGTTCCCAAATGGCAACCTCAACGAATGCCATTTTAACAATTTTTCAACTGCTGAAGGACTTAGATGCTTATGAGGGAAAGGTGATACTGTTTGTACAGAGCTGGGTATGATGTGGGCACATTCCTGTGAAGCTTAGGTGGGCACTGACCCGCTGCAATTACTGGAGGGCAGAACACCTAGACGTCTCTTCTATAAACAGGATACCCATGATACGACTCCATGAGCTGCACTGAGAAGTCAGATGCTCTGGGGTTTCAGACAACAGGCACCTGAGGTCCCCACTCAAACAGCGGGAAGGCATTGGGGAAGAGGAAGAGATGATACTGAAGAAGGCCTCCCACTCAAAGCTGATCTCAGGACTCTTGCACCCAGTGATTCTGAACTACATGAACAGTTCCACTGTCTCATATGAATTAATTCATATGAAAGTAAAAGACTATATTGAGATAATCAGGTATCTGGATAGTATTATATTTGGTCAAGACTATGAAACTGAACTTCTGAGTCCAAATAAAACCAAACGGGTCAGGACGCCAACACCCAGAGTTTTCCAATTCAACCAAACTTTATTTACATGAGCTTTTAGGCCATGGAATGCTAATACTTGTAATCTTGGCTGTGTTAGTGGAAATAACTCAAGGATGCAGAATTCCATTAAGGAATGTAACAGAGCTGATAATGTGTGTATGTGTTCACATATTTAAGAAGATACCAGAACCCCATGATATAAGGGTCCAACCAACCTCAGGTTGCTCTCCATCTTGGCCACTGATCCAGGTGCAAGGCTGTGGATGTAGATGCCAGGAGGACTGTTCTCCAAAGCCAAGCAGCAGGCGCCAATGCCCAGTCCAACCCTTGGCTCTATGTGAAGCAGGACACAATGAAAACAGCAAAAACCATACAATAACCAAAAGAGAAGTAGAGCTGAGCTGAAACACATTTATATTCACATCGATAACCAGTTAGTTTTGGTCCAGGCTCAGAACGTATTTCTGCTTTTTTTTCTCAACACTGCCATATTCTGTTAGTGCAGTGAGTCCATGACTGAACCAGGGACTGTGGGCTGTAAATTACTCAGCGAGTCACTGTCTGCTTAGTTAAACAGCTTCGTCAAATGTGTTTCAGGGAATACGCAGAGTGTAATGTTTTTATTTTGCATAGAGAGACTTTTAGACATTTTTGACCTTTCTTTTTAATAACTAATTTCTTGGTTATTTGTTGACTGCATTTTCACAATGATGGGGAGGAAAAACAAAGATGACCACCCGTGACTTTTAATTATGGTACTAATTATATTCTTACCTATATTCTTTAATTCTTTACAATTTTGTATGAGGCCCAGAATTATTAAGCCACTCAGTGATTTCTTTTTTAAATGTGAGTCTATGCTGCACAACGGACTCAGACAGGGAGACCCTGAAGACCCTTGTGCTACTGGTAACTTCCCCTCACTTTTGTAAGATGACTAAAACCTGTACTTTTGATCCTCTGTCCATTTACAGAACACCGCTTGTTGGTAGCAAATGGTTCTAAAGGAACAATTCTAAGAAAAATTGAACAAAACTTACGAACAGATTCTACATTGTTATTCGAAAGAATGCAGTGGGAGGAGCGAGGAAGAGCTTGGATCACCTTTGTTGAGTGTGACTTCCATGACAATTCGGTCTTTGGGCCCTGGGGCCTTCCGTCCCACAGAGGAGCTGGCTTCATCACAGGAGGTGCCCCCACTGGTGTTGAAGTTGGGAGAGCTTGATCTGCTCATGTGTGTGGGGGTTGAGCAGGGCGTGAGGCTGGGGCTCAGTAACTTGGTACGAACTGTGAGCACGAACAGCCCACTCCGGATTTGCTGTGAAAACAAAAGGCAAGTGGGCTAAGTGTCCTTCCAAAGTGGAAAAAAGATCTCACCAAGCCCAGGCCAGAAGGAAATAAAGGAAAACAAACAGGGCAGGGGGGAGATCAATAAAAAAGCTATTACCTTGAAGGTATGAATGGCTTCTTGAAACGTCAAGCCTTTTATTGGTATTCCATTTACATCTAGGATTTCATCTCCTGTGACCAAATGTGAAAATTACATTAGCGTTACGCTTTGATTTATTGGATGCCAACTGCTTGGTTAGTACTCGAAGAAGATACCATATGGTCCCTGATTTACTACTCCATAAAGTGACTTTTATTGTTCCAATTCACTTTCATAAGCCTGGCTCCCAGCAATGTCACAAAAATGGGCAATTAATTAAAATGCATGTTATTTTGCAATAATTCTAGATTCTAATCATCAATTAAAACAGCTCAGGGAAGCATTAAGAGCTCATGCTTTAACCACTGACAAGTGCAACAGCAGATATCTTGTGTTTCGAGATTGAACTTGCAAATGCTGAACTCCAAGTTTTTCCTTATGGTCATTGTTTAAAAATTTACAACCATTGGCAATGAAGCATGAACTCATAAAGCATCTCAGAAGTCACTATTACATTTGTAGAAAGACCAGATTCCCAGAGAATCATCACAGTGTATAGAAAATAGTTTCAATGACAAAGAGAAAAAACCTTGCTGGGATATTGTTAATCTAGAGTCTAGAGGTCTGATCTTATTGGTGTGGGGCTGGGTCGTCCATCGTCACGCTTGCGTGTGTCTGTCTCAGAGATTACTGTCAGGTAACGCCAAACCGTGAGTCCTGTGCACACACATGCTTGTCTCCTCCCCACCTCAACTAGCCTATCATCTTCAGCTCTAACAGGATGCAGTCAGCTCACTTTTTAAGCTGTTGATAGTGTCGCTGGGAAAATAAAAGAACACAACATCCTGGTGACTTGTAAGAAACTCATTTCTGTTTTGCACTCTTGTGACACAGGCTGTTTTTTGGAATAACAGTTCATCACAAACACTACAAGGCTGCCCCAGAGAGAAGAGGTGAGCTTTGCACTACGGTGTGGTTAGGGAAAGAGACATCCTACACTCACGAAATGCAAAGCAACAGAAGAACACACATTTTCACTTCTCACAGGCAGCCGATTCCAGGAGCACATAGTGCATTTGCTGAGAGGAGTTCTGTAGAGCAGTTACCAAAAGGTGGGGTGCCCCCTGTATCCATCAGGTACCTTTTTCTAATGCAACCACGGAAGTTGTAAAATAAGGGTTAAAATCTGCTTAAAATCAGTTGGTATAACCAATTACTCAATTATGTTTTATGTTTGTGTTCACAAGGAAAAAGATAGAAACATTAACATGCTTGCATATGCTCTTAAAATTTATGCAAGGTTTTTAAAAGATGTATCACTCAACAGTTTAAAATCCATTCTAATGGCTTACATTTCTCATAAGTGAATAAATATGAAAAACCAGTCTTCAGGAGAATCAGGTGCGATTCACCTTTCCTAACTATTGATTTTTTTCTTCTGTTGTACTCCATTTTAACAACCTTGCAGGATGAATTTCAATCAAGAGAACACATGACACATCTGTTATAAAATGCTCTGCTAGAATTTTACATTGCTCTGAAACTGGACACAAATATCACCTGGGTTAACCCTTTCGGGAAGACAGAGGAAGAAATATTCTGCCCAGGACCATTAGCCTACTATGTCATATTGTTAGCACACAGGCTTCTGTGTTGCTCTCCCTAAAAATAAATGGGACTCCAATTTACCTTTTGTCAGTTTACAAAAAGTTAACCAGTATAACTCAACAGCCCCTGAAGTTTGGATCAAGTGAACTGAACAGTCACAGCATTTTTTTTTTTTTTTTTTGTCTTTTTCATTTTTATCGGTACCAGGGATCAAACTCACGACCGCCTGCTTGCAAGGCAGGTGCTTATGCCGCTGAGCTAAACCCCCAGCCCCTGCATTTTTTTAAAAGATAACCAGGAATAGGTATTTTGACTTAATCACTAACAAAAAAGGTGTCTGAATAGGGTGGGGGGAAAATTTAGGATTCCTGCTTTGGTGACTGATATTTAAAATATATTCAGAACTTGTTTGTTATTTGGCTTTATATAAGAATATAGCCTTAATCTAAATAGATATTTCCCAACCATTATATAAATATGTAAATGATATACATAAAGAGATTCCCTCTTTATCAAAAGCAGCTATTATGTCTGCACATTAAGAGGAAGCTTTGGCTTATCCAAATTTTATTTTATTTTCTCAAGCATCACAATATACTAAAGAAGGAAGAGTGACTTTCGAGTCTCCGGGCATCTTGTATTTAAATGAGGCCGCAGTAGCAAGGTAGGGAGAGGAAGTGGCCATGGGATCAGCACACTGGGTTTGAATGTCACTGCTGCTACTTACTAGTTTAGTGACTAGAATGAATTTCTAGTCACTAAACTCTTCCGAGTGTCAGCTTCCTTATTTGTGAAATAATTACTCTATATGCCTACTCAACAGGTTTGTAATGTAGATAGAGGTTTAAACATATGAACATGCTTTGTATTTACAGCACTATAAAATATAAGTTGTATTTAAACATTTAAAAATTTTATTGGCCAGCTATAACTTGGCATCTCAGTGTTTCTTTCACTCACATTCAAAAGGAATTGTCTAGACATTTATGTGTGGCAAAATAGTAGGTGCTACGAAGAATGAAAAAGATGTTCATTTAAGAATTAAAATACATGTTGGCTGATTTCAACAGCTAGATATTCAATGGCTAATAGCGGTCAGGTACAGCTCTTCCACACCAGCCTCGAGTGAGAACAGAATGTAAAACTCTCAGAACTTTTCAAGGAAGGAACATGATCAAGGACTCATCATACAAGATAAACATTTATGTCCTCCGTGAAAATATACAGCCAGTTGGCACAGATTTAATCCTCAACTCTTCAGGATAGACATTAATATTTCAAGTTTACAACCAAGGAAAGTGAAACTTAGGTTGTATCAACTCTCCAAGACCACGGCAAGGAAGTGTCGGATGCAGTCCTGGTCTAGAAGATTCTCAAGCCCATGGCCCTTGCTACCACTCACTTCCCATCTTGTAAGAGGGCAGATTCCCACGGAATCAAAGCTCAGAGTCACAGAGGATCACCAAGAGGTGTTCTCCTACCTTCTTTAAGTCTTCCATCCTCTGCGGCTGACCCGTTTGGGAAAATGGTCTTCACAAAAATCCCCATCTGGCCCCGAATGCAGTCTCGACCTCCAGCAATGCTAAAGCCAAGACCCTACATTTAAAGCAATTGGGAGTAAGGCTGGGATTTGTAATACTTCAGTGAGGCATCCTCACCACTACGGTATTTAGCTTCAGGCTCATTCCTCATTGGTCTTGAAGTTAAGCTATAAACTCAAAGGTTTGCATTCACTTTCCCAACTTCCTCTCAGAACCATATGTTACAGCTATGTGCTATATAAAAGGGAAAAAGTGTTAGGTTGAAACGTATGTCACTGTTAATAATTGACAATCTTTGTCTTCTAAGAATGACATTTCACGTGGGTCAACCAAATAACTTTTGAGCATCATTTTACACTATACAGGTACCATATTTATTTTGTTATTTTAGTCTTCCCATTTTGTCTTATATCAGTGTGGATAGTTTGATACTTGTATATCAAGTTATTCCTGTCATTTCTTTTATGATAATGTCAATGCTATGAAACTCACCAAAATGGGCAACTGGGGGCATTGACAGGTCGGAGTTTCTTCTAATACAGATGAAAGTTGGAGGTTATGGGTTCAATTCCCAGAACAACAACAACAAAAAGGTTGTGGGTCATTCATTGCACCCCTGAGCCCTCAATCCCAGAACCCTAGCAGCCAGGTACTGGTGATGGCTCACATATTAAGGACTGCCTCCTACACGGAGGTCTGCAGGAAATCCACAGGAAGGTCACTTAATCTATCCCTTTTTACATCTGTTACTTCTAGTTCATGTAAAAAATAGCAATAATAAAGTTTTAAAAATTAACCATTTAAAAATAATCAAATAAAAGAAAATAAGGAGGGAGACAGATGTCTCTCACGGGACGGGGATTAACAGATAAAGCGAGAGGGGAAGGGGAAAGGAAGGGATTGAAAAAACAAGAACTAAGATGTGTCATGTACATGTATCATCCCCCCATAAAAATGTAATCAGTATGTATTAGAAACAAGTACTAGAAAAACTGGAAAAAAAATTAACCATCAAGAAAAGAGTCTGCAGAAAAGAGCTTACCTTGCCTTTTTCCTTGTACAGCCCAATGATGGAGATAACAGATGGCCGGATGAGTCTCCAAGGAGATTCCACATGAGTCGTGCTTAGGGAGCGGGTGGACTTCTTCACGATGTATTCCTAAACACCAGCACATGGTGAGGTTAGAGACCTCGCATTTATCTTGTTGTGGGCTCTGCATACAGATACGCTTGGACTCTGGAAATTTCAGTTGTCTTTTTTGTGTTATACAGTGATTTGTCTTCGGTCCATTTTTGGCATAGTGTCTTAAAGAAAGTTTATTACCGATAAACAACCGGAGGAAGTGTCCCTATGGAATATACTGCCATGCTTCCCCTCTTAAAGGACTGTTTGGAGACCAGAAAGCGCTTGTGCTGCTCTTTCCTTGACCACGTCCTGCAGATCCTGCTGCTGGAATGAAGTTAGGAACCAGAAACCAAGAGACCTCAAAGATATGGGATGACCAGTCTGTGGTTGGGCTCTCTTTGGCCAATCCCTGCTCCTATCCTAAATTCACAATCGTAGTCACAAAGTATCTCAACAATTAAAGCTCCATTTTATTTATTGAAAATCTCAGCAAGCCCTGTTTCTTATAAAATGCAGACCGCAAACCCAGAAAACTATTATTCCACATAAAAATAGCCGCTTCAGCTTTAATCCCTCACATTAGGAAAATAAAATATTTTCCCATAAGCCACACTTTCTCTTCCCGGCACAGAGCAGTGTAAATTGCAATTCTTTTTCTTTTTCCTTCATGCAAAATATTCCCATGTGCTCATAAGGTGCACTGTTTATAACATAAACAAGAGATTCAGTGACTATTGCTAACACACTCCCACAATCCAGCTCCTTGTTATTCTTCTTAGACTATCTTAAATGATGCAGATATTCCACTACAAGCCACATTTTTTCCATGTTTAATGTGAGAAAAGACACATGCAAAATGGTTCTTATCTTTAAGTTGTATCAGTGACATTCAAATGTAGAGATGAGACGTTGTCCCCTAATGACATTTTTTGTATTCCTGACAGCTTAGAACAATTACACCATGCAGTTATACAGTATTTCTCCCAGTTATGTGGGCCTCCTAGACTTGGTCTCATTAAAAAAATCATGTGGGCTTGGCATGGTTACCACCCTTTTACCAAAACCACTGCAGTGATGTCAGAACCACATGGTTTCCAACTCTTGAATACAGAGGTTTGCATGTGACCTCATCAGGGAATTCTTTCTCTGGTCAACAATTTTCAGCAATATCTTACTTAATCTCCATTTAAGGAATCACTGAGACCAAAAGCCTGCACGCTTCATGGGTCTCCCTGAGTTTTAGGAGGTGCACTGACTTTCCAGACTTACGCTGTCCAATACAGTAGCTGTTTGCCACCAATGGCTGTCTGTGTTTAAAATGAGATGGATTTAGCTTAAAACTGCATTCCTCAGTCTCACCAGCCACTTCTGACACGCTCAGCAGACCTCAGTCCAGCTACCATCTTGGACAGTACAGGTGAAAAACTCTTCCATCTGTGCAGAGAGTTTTACTGGCTACTCTATTCTAAGCCATAGCTTTTAGTGGAGAGAAAGAGAACAGGGAAAAAGAAAGATGACTCCTAGAAGAAAAAGACAGACGAGAAATTAAGAAAATAGAAACAGGACAGTTTGAAGAGGGAAAAATTCTTTTCTGAAACGCCCTACACTAGCTTGAGCATCCTGGTTCCTGGAAGCCTCATTAGGAACAGATGTTTCTGGGCTATAAATACGGTCAGGTTTCCTCTGTGGATCAGTTGAAAAATCATCACGTCAACACCAGATCTTTGGCCACGATGGCAGCAAACCCTCTCTCATCTCTCACACTCACTAACGCAGCCTGATGACGTGGCTCTGCCGCTACTTTTTGGTCTTCCCCTGTCTCCATGGGTCCAACTGGACGATTCTGAGCCAATCACAGATGTGTCTGTCTCTAGCCTTGGGTCTGGGTGACTTTTAACTGATCCATGCAACCTGTTTTCTCTGCTTTTTCTTGGTGCCTCATCCTCCTCCAGCTGTCTTTGGGTGAATTCAACACCCAATCCTGTCTGACCAGCAATTGCCCCAGAAACACAGGTACTTTTTTTCTTCTGGTCAGATAAAGAGCAACAGAAGCAAGAAAAATACTTGATCCTGATGCAAAATCAACCATATTCATGCACTTTTCTAGTATATTGCCTTGAGCAAAATATTTAACTTCTCTGAGACTCAGTTGTTCCATCTGTAAAATCATTATAACATGTCAAGTTAAGGGCCCAACCCAGGTAACTTGATACACCACCATCAGAACCCTACCATCTATGAGTGTCCAGGCACTTTCGGGTATCACCAATCACCTATCTTTCTCCTCCAGCTCTGTTTTATCATAGGGCTGGGGACAAGATGCCAATGGTTTCCTCTTGGCCTTCTGGCTGATGGTACCGGTACTCAAGAAACTCTCTGAGTTCCCTAGAAACTGAACCTGCCTCAACTTGGTTGAAGTTTCTAGGAGATTGGGGACAGCATGACTGAGGAAGAGCCAGTGCTCTAGGGGAACAGGCTGGAGGATACTAAACCACTGAGCCGTCACTGGGTAACAGTAAGACCCAGGTGTGGCACAGGCACAGCTAGACACACACACCACACAGTCCTGACCCTGACACACAATGCTCCCATTAAAGAAGTGATGGTCATTCACCACAGACTGTGAGATGTCATTGTTCCTGGCAGTTGAAAGCAATTCTCAGTTCCAAAACTCACAATAGGAAGGGAATCAAGATGTTAGGAACCAACAAGAGGTTTATTTTCCCCTATTTCTTCAACTAGTAGGTTTATTTCTTTTCTAGTCTGTCTGGGTAGATATCGCTCTATCTTACCATCTCTCTAGATCTGACTACTCATGGTCCACATGGATGGACAGTTCTCAACACAGAAGCTGGTATTTGAAGCAGGGGTGAGTGGGGAGAAAAGCCAGAAGACCCAGGGGATGAAACCATGTTCTTCTGTGCATAACTAAGCAACCGTGCCTGGAAGCCAGCAAGAGGCACCACCGCCCAGGACTGACCTGTCCTGTCCCAGAAGAGTCCAGAAGCTGAGGAAGGGAGTGCTTCCGGCCATCTCGGGAGACCTCCAGCATCCTGGCTCGAGGGTCTCCATGGCGCACCATCAGCTCGTTATATTCTTCAACAGACTCCAGGCGGTGGACACCCCCTTGAAAAAAAAGAGGCAGGAAGAATGTGGGTTGCTATAGGATAAGAAGAATCTGAAGAACACCTGCAGGCATGAACTGGCTGTACTTAGACACACATGCATGGCTTCAGAAGACCTGGCACCCAAGACACCTAAAGCACCAAGCGCCCAGTGTCCTAACACCAAGTTCTGCACAAGCCCACTGTGTGTTGAGTTCATTAATCACAGGCTAAGAAGAAACTGCCATTCTTGATGTTCCCAATTGGCTAAGGGGCAACAAATATGTTTGATCTAAGTCAGATGGAGGTGGGGTGAAATAAACATCAGTGAGCCATAAACAACTGTGGGAATGCCATCAGCTGTGAGGGGGGAGTAGCACTCTGGTTGGTACAGTTCCACTGTTGGGCAGATGCCTTTTTTCCCAATGTACAGTAAGGATGAATGGATAAAGAAAACGTGTTATTTACACAAACTAGAGTATTACTTTGCTGTAACAAAAGAAAAATGAGTCATATGTAGGAAAAAACAGATGCACCTTGAGACCCTTGTGTGAAGTGAATAAATCAGACACACAAGCTTAAATATCACATGGTTTCTCTTACATGAGAAACCCCAAAGAGAAATACAGAGCAAAACAGAAGGAAGGTAACAGTAGGGAAACAGATCTTTTTCAGAGAGAGAGGGGACAGGAAATGAAAACAGGAACGAAGATATTGCCTATGTCTACTGACTCCACACAAGGAATCTGAACATTATCCTCTGCAAACGTGTCCTAGTAAAATATTTAAAACAATGCAAGGGGATAAAAAACTTCAAATAAAATATAATGCAGAAATGTGCATACATGTGTAGTATACAATTCACTGAAATGAAGGTGCCACTCACCAAAATCCAGATCAAGAAACAGAACATTGAGGGGAGCCCGCAGAGTTCTCTTCGTGCCACTGACCCTTCTCACCAGGATCTGGCTTTTAAGCATCACATATTGCTTTTGTTCGTTTTTGAACTTTCCAGGAATGAATGCATAGAATATGTACTTTTTTCCCCTTACATCTGCCTCCTTGTTCTTAATATTTATTTGCAAAATTCAACTGTGCTGCCTGTATGCCAGCAGCTTGCTCACTTCCACTCTGTGTAACACTCTGTATAATCGTACCACTACTCATCCTTCTACTGGTGATGGGCATTTGATTCCACTGTTAGGTCTAGGATGAAGGCCAGCACATGTGCGGTGTATTGGGATCAGGCCTCGGGTCTTGCACATGCCAGCAAGCGCTGTACCACACTGAGCCACCAGCCACCCCTGCAAACGTTCTTTCTTCACAAGTTTTGGCTTTCTGGGCCATGAACTCTTGTCTCTTCTTCCTTTTCCTTCTTTGTCTCTCTTCCTCCTCTTTTTATACTCTTCTGAAATTGTGGAAAGCATTTCTAGCTTGTAGGCCATGCAAACACAGCTGTGGGCTGCAGAGTGCGCTGTCACTGAATCTTCTTAGACGTACGTCATCGTTGTCGGAAATACCTGGGCACGGAGGTCCTCATACAAGCATCTCGTTACCTTTGCCAATGATGTCTCAGCAGCTCGCAAGCTTCTCCACATCCTCACCAGGCTCGGCGATGCCGCTCTTTAAGGTTTAGGTCTTCTGGTGAGCGTAGGATTGGATCTCACTACGGTTTTTAACTTGCCTTTCACTGATGACTAACTTCTGATGACATGTTTCTCTTCATATATTCAATGGCTGTTTTTTCTTTTGTGAAGTATCTGTTCAAGTCTTCTGCCCATTCTTTTATTAGATTTCTGTCATTTTTTGTGATGAATCATAGGAGGTTTATTTATTTGTAATATCTTAAGATTACAAATGTTTTGTGGGAGCTCTGGATTATCAGTATCTTCTCCCTGTTCCCATCTTACCATTTCACTGTCTTCATGGTAGTTTTCGATGAACATAATTTCATGGCTTTCACATTGTACAGTGCAGTCATGAAGGGCGTGACAAGGATACGTTTTAAGAGACATGTTGTTAAGACAATTTTGTGCATGTGTTCCCATCTCAGAGGGAACGTACACAGACTAAGTTGGTCAGGACATCACTAGGTGATAATCATGTGGGATCACAGTTTTATAGGTGGCCTATTTTTTGGGGGGTAGATTTTTATTTATTTTTTTGGTACTGGGGATTGAACTCATGACTTGCACCTGTGCTGCTAACCTATATTCCTGGCCTTTTGTGGCCTATGTTTGACTAAAACATCATTATGCTGTACCTGAATAAATGTCTAAAATCACTTTTTAAACTTTATGGTTAAGACTTTTTGCTTCCTGCTTATTCTTGGTAGTAAAAACTTTTAAAGATACCTTTATTGATGCCTAATTTGTATTATATAGTATTTGAAAATAATTTAAAAGGGGCTGGGGGTTTAGCTCAGTGGCATAAGCACCTGCCTTGCAAGCAGGCGGTCATGAGTTCGATCCCCGGTACCGGTAAAAACGAAAAAGACAAAAAAAAAAAAAAAAAAAAGAAAATAATTTAAAGGAACTTAATCTTAAGTGATGGATCAATTACATGTGAATAGTTATAATCATATTATAATGCTTACACTTTATATTATATATTACATATTTGCTTGAAAATTGCTATATAAATACAAATTCTTTGAAATATCAAGTTTACTTACACTATGTGGTAATTCACTGATAACCAAATATTTTAATCTGCGTAAAAAATTTTTCGAAAAGTGTCTCATGGAATAAAGCAAAGTAATTTTGAACTTTTCAAAATATATTAATGAGTTTTTCATAGCAATGAAAAGTTAGAAGAATGTTATATATGGTTATAATGGCTATCACTAAAGGCTTAGCTTTTCAAAAGCTAAATATTAACTTTTTGAGGCAGGTTTTTAAAATGTGAAATTCCTTTGTAACTAAAGAAAAATGTGTATTTAAAAGGCTTACAAACCTAAGAGACCAAATAGATGAGCCAAAAATACTGAAATTAAAGGGGAAATCCTGCTAGCAAAAAAGGAGGTACTAATTAAGGAAAACTAGGATTAGATGTCAGAAAAATGATCAGTTAGATGACAGACAACATTATTTTATAGTCACTTTGGAGCCAGACTGGGCAAAGCCCTAGTAGAAATGGCTGGAACCTCTTTACAGACACACTTTAATAACTCATGACTTAATAATTCATGACCAGATTAATCTCTCTTGGCATGCTTACTCATCTGAGGAAGATTTATTAGAAGAAAATTCCTTCTGAGCTGACAGAGAAGGACTTGTCATCAAGCAGAGAGAAACCACATACGGTAGCGCCCACAGATAATACACTGATATGTGAACATCAGGATGACTCATTTAAAGAAAATATGCAGTAAACATCCACGTTTACAGGACAAACAAGGAGCTGATCACATTAAAATCTCCTGCATGTAAATCTTTAGAATGAACATATTTCATGGCACTGAAGCAAGGCTCGATTCTTTAAGCTCTTTAATGTGTCTCCTGATTATTTCTTTGGTCTTATCTCCCACTGCTGGTCTACGAATTCGCTGTATCCTGATGATTGTCAAAGGAAAGGATTTGTCCTCCTCCCCCTCCTTTCCAAAACTGGGGAATTTAAAAATCGTGTTTTGCCCAACTTCGCCTGCCCCAGCATCTCTCACCCCAAGATTCTGTATCTTTTCCCTTAATAACTCTGTCAAGCTCTGGTGGATTGAGTCACTATTGCCGACAGATTACACTGGATCTTTCAAACAGTTGAGGAGGAAAAAAAAAACAGTTGTCAAAAACTTCTTTGACCATTTTGGCCCCTGCCGTCCCTAAAACCTCTCATTCATCTTGTGCCCAGTTGAGACCCCTGTTCTCCCCTGTTCAATACCAATGAATCCTGCCAGTGTCTCTGCCCCCTTCACCTGCTCATCTCCCCTGAGCATCACGACCCAGGAAACTTCCAGACTTTGGACCTTGTGTGTGTGGTTCACTGCGGCTGACACTGTGCACATGTGATGAAAGTTCTTGAGAAGGTCGTCCTGCCTGAGCCCTTCCAAACATGTTCCCCTCTCCAGAGGGAAAGATGCAACGACAGTAAGAATGGAAATGAAAATGATGATGCCAGACATAATGTTATGCTAACAATGTAATAACAGTGACAGCCACAACGAGGCGAGGGCTGCTGGAGAGGCGGCACCACATGCATTCCCACCAGCCCATCTCCCATCACCAGCCAACACTGTAGTCCCCCTCTGATTCACGAGGGAGCTGGGGACCAGGCCGTCTGCCCCACCTGAAGTGGGGGAGGTGGGAGCCCAACACAGGTGTAGCCGGTCCACATGTGTGTTTCCCCTGTTCTACATTTTCTGGTCATGGCCTTGGATGTCACTTTGGATGTCCTGGGAAGGACACAGGAAGAGAAGGTGTCATCCCTTTGTAGCATACTATGGCCAGCCCTGGATTTATAACTCAGTTGAACACGCTGCTTGCTCTAAACTAAGAGTATGGACAAAATTAGAAAATCATCCATCTAAAAGGTGCCTCGGCTATACCCGCATAGGAAGCTCAAGACTGGGAAAAGAATTCTTTTCATGACCCACAGGAAGCCAAAGGGTGGGGAGGGACTCTGTCTGGGAGGCAGATCCTTTTCCTGGCTCGGACTTGGGGGCCTCTGGGATTCCCTTTTCAAATTTCATCCATAAAGTGAGGAATGTGATTGCACTGGTTTCAAAGGTCCTGGGTTTCCTCAGAGCTCTGTAAATTATCCTGAGAACCGGTTTATAAAGTGTGATAAACTCCTCCAAGACAGCTGACCTCAGGGTTCCTCTGTGCCCTTGTGAGACCGTCCCCCCCTCCGTGGGATCTGCACGTGTCCCTCTCAGTGTTCCCAAGCGCTGGAGTGGCACTGGTCACTGTCTCCAGGTGAGTCCTCTCACGATCTCCATCTATCTCTAGTCCCCATTTCTTTTTGTCATAAACCCGTGTCTACAGACTTGTCCGCAGACAGCACTCACTGTAATTAGTATGAGTTACAATCGAAAACCAATCCATTTTGTTACTTGAGTTTAAAAAGTGATGCATGTTATGGCCCTCTCCCTACCATTCTACCTGAGAATACACTCAGCGGAGGGCGGGGCTGTGAGAAGGGAGATGCTCTTGGCCGGCAGCCCAGTCGCCACCCTCTCCACTGACTTGGGTGGTAAAATGGGAACATGGGTTTTTGGATGTCAACATACTATACATTGTATTAGATGCTTTTACGTGCGTTAAAAAATACAAAATTACCTCTGTTTCTTCAGATAAAGAAACAGAAACTTAGGAGGTTAAATAACTCAAAAGCACAACAGAATTCAAGAGCTGAGGGTCAGCCTGGTTTTGCTACACTTTCAAGCCCTTGGCTTCCATCTCAGATACTTCTTCCTGATGCCAGGACCCCATGCCACTCTGGAGCCCCACAGAAATGTTTTTCTTCCCTGGTCTCTAGGAATTTTTTTTTAAAATGCAGAAAAACCTAGACTAAAATAGTAATGAATAGATTAAAGAATCTAGCTTGTATCTTTATATCAATGCAGTCATAAAGAACAGTTTTATTCTTTATGGAAGAAAGGAACCATGAAGGCAAACATGCTGAGGCCACATGAAAGCCACAACGTGTTCGCTGCACACAGCCTGGGTTTCCACAGGTTTCTCTCAGCGCAGGCTGGTTACTCTAGCCAGGCACGGGGAACCCTTTAATGAACACACAGCCAGTTGCGGCACACACATGCCATAGGTTCGCCCCCACTGCTCTAGGGAAATGCCCCGGAAACACAGAACACAGAATCTATTTATTCCAAAAGCTGCCACTCCATCCATTTTCCCGCTTAGCTGAGATGCAGATTTGATATTAAATAAGTAGCCTTTTGCCACTTGTTCTGTTGGCTGAGTTTTGGAGAAGTGCGCTTCCAGGGAAGATGGGCCATCAGGGATCACCTGCACTGACTGGGTCACCTGATGTCCTGCTTAAATAAATGAACCAAGTATACCGGGTGGGGGTTCAACACTGCGATAGAGACACACAGAGACACTGACATTCTTTTGGCTGTGTGTGACTCACATAAAGACATCACATGCACAGCCAGGCTTAGTGGAGTTGTTCTGCCAGGATCAGGTATCACAGAAGGAAGAACATTTTAAGGAGAAAGGGCTCATGCTGTTCACAGCCCCATCTCCTTGCCAGAGGCTGGAGGCCTGGCTGCAGGTGGACTGCACTGGGCAGAGCTCCTACTTACCCGAAAGGCGACTCTTGAGCTTCATTTTGCCGCTGCCCTGCTGGGGACTTTGCAGGTTCCCCTTGGGTTCCTCAGGACCGCACACATCCTGGAGCTCGTCTGTCCCAGGCATCTGCAAGGCAGTGAGCACATAGCTGATGGGACAGGCTAGTCCTGTGGTGAGTGACACTGCCCCTCAAGACGTTATCTCAGTGAGGCCCAGGGAGCAGCAGTTCCCATGTCACCCGAGAGAAGGGTTCACAGACTAAAACCTTCAGCCAACTTGCACCTGGACACACTGCCCCCTACCCAGCACAAACCCTGTGCAAACCCGGAGGTTTGCAAGCCGGTAAGGGCCCCTAGGCAGCTTTTGTCTTTCATTCCCTGTTAGAGGACCCTTGTTGTTAAGGTCACCCAGGGGAGTCAGTGGCAAAACCTTAGTTGGCTTGGCTTGGGGGTCAGTGCTTTTCCAAAAATCCAACTTGCAACCAACATTAAACCAGAAATTCAAACCCAATTTTAAGGTTCCTAAAATAGAGTTCAAATTTTGATTGTGTGGCAATCAAATAACTACAGGTGTATGTTACTTAATAACGGGGATCTAGTCTGAGATATGTAGATTGGGGTTTGTCATTTGCTGTGCAAATGGCATACAGTGTACAAACCTAGATGGCATGACGTATGTCAGTCACTTAGTGTAGTACCTGGAACACGATTCAGAGATATGGTAGCTGGGCATGGAAATACATGTCTATAATCTTACAGCATTAGGGAGGCTGAGGCAGGAGGATCGCCATGAGTTCCAGGCCAGCTTGGGCTACACAGTAATTTCCAGGCCAGCCTTAACTGTATAGCAAGACTCTGTCTCAAAAAATGAGAGTGGGGGAAGGAGGGAGGAGAGAGAGAGAGAGAGACAGACAGACATGGAAACAGAGACAGACAGAAAAACCACAAGCCTAGGAGGTGGCTGCTGGCATAGCTTGGCACATCTTTTTTTTAACAGTGAACATTTGTTTTTAATAAATAGAAGAAATACAATCCAAAACATAAATGTATTGGTTTATCTATAACATAAATACATAAACCAGTAACAGTAATTTATGTCAGGTATAGTATACTGTACGTAATTGTATTACCTTTTTTTAAATTATTGCCTGTTTGTAATACAGAATAGCAATGTTGCTTTTTAGGGAACTGGTATATGCATATAATATATCTTGATCTTTTTCAATCCTTTTACCCTCCTGTGCCATAGTTTTATACAACCCATGGCACAGCTTCTCTACACCAGCATTACTGCACCCATGAGCAGTGCATTGCACTATGGTGTCCCTAGGTGATTTTTCAGCTCTATTACAATCTGGTGAGGCCACTGTCATATATGTAGTTTGTCATTAACCAAAACATCACTGGGTCACATGATGGTTTAGTCTCAGTGTGACTCACACTCCATGTGTCTCACTCCTGAGCACTGATTGAACACCGCCCGGGATCAGATGACCCCCAGGTTATGTGGGACATCAAGGAGTTATGCAGAATGGTTAATCCCAAGGCTCCTTGGGTTTTCCAGCCTACAAAAGTCAAACATGTGAAAAACTACAGTTAGTAGATTGGAAAAGGAGATGTGTGAGTAATGGTGTCTTTAAAATCCTTTGGGGGAGGGGCTGGGGATTTAGCTCAGCGGCATAAGCACCTGCCTTGCAAGTGTGTGGTCATGAGTTCGCTCCCTGGTACTGATAAAAAAAGAAAAAGACAAACAAAATTCTTTGGGGGAGGGATAGTGGTACAAGCTTGTAATCTCAGCACTGGGGAGGCTGAGGCAAGAGGATTTTAGTGAATTCGAGGCTATCCTGGGCTACAAAGTGAGTTCAACGCTAGCCTGAGCAGCATCGTGAAATCTTGTCTTAGAAAGATAAAAATATTCTTTAGGGGATAAGTTGACATGTACGTATGAAACTTATTTTATGCATCGAATAATAAACTTTTTATTTGAAATTTTATTTTCCTTTTTGGTTCTGGAGGGTTAAAAAAGCATCTTATATTAAAATGCATAAAATTCATCTGGATGTGGTTGTACAAGTGAGAGGCTGAGGCACGAAGATTCAAAGTTTGAACCTAGCCTGGGCAACTTAACAGCCTAGACCCTTTCTCAAAGTGAAACATAAAAAGGGGTGGGATATAGCCCAGTGTGAAAGCCCTGGGTTCAGTGCTCAGTACCAGGGAAAAAGCTAAGATTTGTCAAGGAACATGTACAAACTTTGGTTCCTTTTTTTTTGGAACCAGGAATTGAACTCAGAACCTTGTACTTGCTAGGCAGGCACTGTGCCACTGAGTTATACCCCTGGCTGTACAAGCTTTAAAAAAGACATGTAAGATATTTTTAACATTTACAGTCATCTTAAAATTGTGTAATCATAACACAGAAAAACATACCTAATTTTAACAATAAACATATTTTGTATATTTAACAATAAACATATTTTGTATATTTTTACACATTAAATTTAATGTGTAAAAAATGTATAAAGTAAGAAGTTAATTTCCCATGTAACTTCCCTTTTCTGGGTAATTATTTATATATAATATATAACGTTAGGGAGATTTTGTTTCCTTCCTTAAGCCCAAGTATCTTTGTAGACAAGGAGGAGGAATAAAAGGTCTGAGATTGAGCAGATAGAGGCAAAGCCAAGGAAAAGGAATTGGGAAAATAAATTAATCCTGACACAGAAAACAAAGATAACGAGTTTGCTGTATTCATATTACAGTGTCAGGGACTGGCAGGTGTCCAGGTTTAAGTTATGAGAAACAAGCAAAAACAGAATCCCGAGGATTATGTTAGAGACTCTCCAGAGAAATATCCTTCCCAACCCCAAATCCTGACAGTGAAAAAGAACCAGCTTTGAGATGGGCCAGAGATCTGGGTCACATGCAATGAGGTGACACAGAGACAGGAGTAATCCCGAGAGAACCCTCGGTAAAAGCGTGATGGAAAGTACCTGTCTCTAGACCACAGACGGCAAGTCCCGGGTTTTCTCCTGGTTTACCACCTGGCCCGGGCTGTGCGCCTTCAGGGAAAGGCAGCCCTCGGCTTGCAAGCCACTCCCCCTCCTCTAGCGCCCAGAGATGAGCAGTTTGTTGGTGGTGGCCGGGGTGGGAGGTGGTTTATTACACAGGGTTAGTAGTGCTTTATTACACCTGTGTGCGATGCTCTTGTCAAGGGGGGAAATCAGCCAGCCTCTGCTTCCAGACTTATGACAAGAGTCCTCCTTTCATTTTCCCTTCTATTTTCCTGGCAGAGCCTCAGGTTTTCACAAAAGCAGTGAAATTCTGTGACATAAGTGTTTACAGGACAGTGGCCTGCCTGGGACATTTTAGCTCAGTACAGACAAGGCTGCAACTTGATTCTCCATGTCCTGACTTGGTCCATGTATGTGGTACATGTCCTGACTTCCGGCTTCACGGATTACTAGCATACCCCCTTTCCCACCTGAAGGTGCTTTGTAATTAAATGAATGACATGGATAATCAAGGTGAGCAAATTTTTTTTTTTCCATTTCATTGTCACAGCAAATACACACACTGGTACCTTGATTTGTGAACTTAATTTGCTCTAGGATTCTAGGAAAGATGGCCACATTTGTGGTTTGGGAAAGATGGTCCCTGTCATGTTTGTTACCCCATGCAGAGTTTGCAAACAAAACCAAAATACTGCCAAATGCTTCTGTTTGTGAATCAAATTGTTTGCAAACAAAAGTGTTTGTGAACTGAGGCCCACTGTACAGCAAGGTAAATAATATTAATCTCTACGTGACACACGAGAAAATAAAACTGACACCTTTACATAACATTCTGCTGTTTGTAACATACGGCAGGGATCTAGGATGGTCGGCATATGAAGAGGGCAAGAATATAAAATGAGTGGTGTTGAGGAGCTTACATGCAGTATGTCAAATCCGAAATCCATAAGGCATAAACAAAAATGATGTGAACTCTTTTATTTTCAGAACCTGAGAGGGGTGGCTGAAAAGCCTTAAAGAAACCATTTCTTTTCTTAATCCCCTAATGCATCAAAGAATGAAGTGAGATTTAGTTTCCATGATCTACAAAATGCCTGTAAGAGTTCTTATGCCAAAGAAATCTTCTGATAAAGGCAGTGTTATGTTGCTGCTCTGTGGTTAGAACCGCTTAGAACGGGCCTGGAGAGATCTCAAAGTACTGCAGAGGGTGAAGTGCTGAGCTCAAGCCAGCAGTGAAAGCTTCCTGCAGAATCCGCGACAAGCAGCAGCACGGGTGTCCTAGTCCATTCTGTGTGGCCATAACAGAACACCAGAGACTGGGTAATTTATAAAGACAAGAAATTTACTTCTCACAGTTCTGGAGGGAGACATCTGACACCAAGGTGCCAGTGTCCAGCTAGGGCTGCTTGCTTGCTACTGTGAAAGGCGGAGGAACAGGAGAATGTGAAGGAGGCCAGATTTGCTTCTATAAGCAGCCCCGACTTGCAATGAATAGCCTCCTCCCTCAATAAGGACAGCCAATCATTTTCAAGGGCTCCAATGGCCTCTTCTTACCCCATCTCCCCAACACTGTTGCACTGGAAATTGAGTTTCCAACACACAAACTTACTCAAACCATAGCAATGGGATTCTGATGTAAATGGCACTGTTCCCTCCTGTAACACAAAACTGGTTTGCTGTGATGTTAGCTGGCTTACAACTTTAGTGAGCAGGAAGTGGGCTGCTTAGAAATCTTCATTCCAGCTTATACCAGGAAGTAGCAACACACAAAGTGTGACTTGGATAACAATGAGCCTTTCCTTTCTTACGCTATTGTCTGAAAATGTCTATACTTTTAGAATTCCTTTACCCCATGCAAAGAACAAATCAAATTGTTCTGAAAATGTCATCTTACTTGCTCTAAAATGAAATTTGTAAAGTTCTCCTTGAAGGCCTTCAGTTCAGCAAAACAACTGATAACAATTTATTATGCATGAGCAATTTCTAATTTGTGAGCTATAAAAACAATGCCATATATATATAAATATACACATATATATTTTTTTTTGGAGGCAGAGTTTAGCTATGCAGTTCAGGCTGGCCTTGGACTCAACTGTATAGCTCAGGTTGGCCTCAA